TCGATCGCCGTCTTCTGCTTCTCTTCTCGGGCCCCGTCGGACTCCGACTCCCTTCTCCGACCCGCTTCTCTCCCCCGTGCCGCCCCCCCCCCCTCGCGAGAGCAGGGGCTCGCCGTCGGGCTCGTCCAGCGGATGGTGACTGAGGAGGTCCTCTCGCCGGAGCAGCTCTGCCTCGGCCGCCAGCGAGCCGCCGAGGGACGCGAGAGGGAGGAGGCCGCACCGCCCGCTCCCCCCTCCCCCGACCCGGCCCGGCCCTCCCTCTCCTCCTAGGCGCCGAGGACCTTCGCCTCGACAACCCGCGCGCGCCGGAGCTGATCGCCGACTTCCTCGAGCGCCTCCCCGGGTGAGAGCCCGGGGCACCGCGAGGCCCACACGCGTCCGCGTGCGAGGGCACATTGACCGGCCGGCACGCTTGGGGCTTGGCGAACGGCGAGGCCGACGGGGCCGCGCATGTCCATCAGGCATGTGCGATTGGGCTTGCCATGGTGCATACGCGCATTCGAGATTCGTCCCTGTCTTGAAAAAAATACTACGGGATATTTGGCCAGGGCCCAGGCCGGGCTACTGCGCCTTCTCGTGGAGCACTCCTGTACGGCTTACGCGTTACGGCTCACGGCTCACCTTCGCAGTTCGCACGACGCAGCAAAAAAATTAAATATTCTTAGCTTCGCCCTTGCCTCCGACGCTAGAGACAGTCACCACGGATACATACGTCCGTGGGAGTGCCCCCCTCCCCCACCTGCCCTGCTTACACAGGATAGCATGCCCCGAGAACGGCGGCATTTGGCGGGGGTAACCTGGGAAGGAGGTTTGGTTGTGCTTTCTTTTTTTGCTCTCGAGGGAATGTTCTCTCGACGCCACTGGCCTTCTGAGGTTTCGTACTGGTGACGTCCTTCTTGGCACTTCGGGCGTCGGTGTGTGTGGTGAATTCCCTCGGTTTTTAATGTGTTTTTTATTTATTATTTTTGGCTATATCATCGGACGTTGAGTGGGCACCATCTCCAGTCCATCATCTACGATGCCAACCCGAGCCGTCTGCCGCTCGAGGATCGAGTGGCCTCCGGATCGAATCGGCACCTTGACCCTTATAATTTTTTTCACATCTTGAGCGGGCCCAATTTTGCTCAGATGTACCTCCGAATTCGAACTCACGTCATCACGCTTAGCGCTTGGTGTGTGTCCGTTTTTCGTCACGGGTGTTCGCACGACGCAGCAGAGCCGCGACCTGTTCGAGCTCAGTCCCTTTCCCTCATGCTGCCGTGCGCCTCATACAACCGAGCCCCACCGTCGCCGACCCCCACCATGAAGCTTCAGGCCGGCCCGCGCTCCGCGATGCTCGCCTGCAGCCGCGCCACGTCGGCGCTGGCTGGGTTCGCCGCCGCCGCCCGCTCGGCCGCCGCAGCAGCCTCGCCGACGCGCCCCAGCGCCAGCAGCGCCTGCGCGCGGCGGTAGAGCGGCTTGGCGGCGCCGGGCGAGAGGAGCAGCGCCTCGTCCGCGTGCGAGAGCGCGTCCGCCGGCCGATCCGCCTTGAGCTCGCAGCCGGCCAAGTTGTTGCGCAGCGCGAGGGTCAGCGCGCGCGACGCGTCGCCTCCGCCTCCCCCGCCGCCCGCTGCCATGCCGAGCGCGCGCGCGTACGCGGCGCACGCCTCCTTGGTCCGCCCGGCGGAGAAGAGCGAGTTGCCCTCCTCCTTGAGCGACGCGGCGCCGGCGAGCGGGTCGGCGGGAGGCGCAGCGGAGGCGGCGGCAGAGGCGGCGGAGGGGGCAGCGTCGCGCGCTTGGTGGCGGAAGGAGATGAGCTCGACCTGGGCCTGCACGGGCCCGCCGCCGCCGCGCGAGGGCGCGAGGAGCGGCTCGAGAGCGGCTTGCTCTTGCGAGAGAGAGACGCGCGCGAGCTCGCCCCGCCGCATCGAGTGGAGGGCGAGGCGCAGCGCGTCGCCCACGACGCGGCCGTCGTCGATGCCGACGGAGAGGGCGCCGTCCCTCCCGACCGCGTCGCCGCCGAGCGCCGCCGCCGCCGCCGGCACCAGCGAGGCGTTGGCGAGCGACGGCGAGCCGAGCCTCACCTAGGAAGGTTCAGAGAAGGTTCAGAGAAGGTTCTGACCTTCCTAGGCGTGAGAGCCGAGCCTCACCGTCAGCGTCGCCCCGCGCGCGGGCGTCTCCCTCCCCTTGCCGGGCGAGAGGACGCGCTTGAGGACGGAGCGGCCGCCGTCGGAAGAGAGGTCCTCAACCTCGGCCACGGCGTGGAGGTGCAGCTCGAGCCCCAGCGGCCCCGGGCACCCTCCGCCCGCCGCGACGAAGAAGGCTGCCCGCTCGCCCGCCCGCATCGACCCAATCGCGAGAGGAGCCGCGTCGAGGCCGAGGACGCTGCCCGCCTGGTGCAGAGGGAGCTCGAGCCGCTCGTAGCGCTGCTCCTCGCCCACGCAGCCCGCCACGCCCGCCCGCCCGCCCTCTGGCGGCCGCACCACCGCGGTGAGCATCACGTCGTCTGCGCCGCTCGGCTGCGCCGCGCCGGCGGCCGGCGGCTCGACAACCTCCTTTGCGACGCCCGCCAGCATGATGGGCCAGCGTTTGCGGCCGGTGCCGACGAGCGGCGGCGGCGGCGGCGGCGGCGGCGGCGGCAGCGGGCACACTTCGCAGCCGTCGGAACGGGCCGGCAGCGTGCGCTGGCCCAACGCCGCCTCGAGCTGCCTCGCCGCGTCCTCGTGCGCCTCGCGGCACGCGGCGTGACTGCGCTCCGAGGCCGTGACGAGGCTGGCGGAGGAGGCCTCGAGCGCTCGCCAGTGCTCCACCTGCTGCTGTCTGCGCGCCAGCTCCTCGCGCAGCTCCTCGAGCTGCATGCGCACGCTCGCTCCCGCGGCAGCGCAGTCGTCAGCGGCGCCGGGCCGCTCGAGGTGCGTCGCCGCGAGCGCGGCAGCGGCGGCGAGCAGAGCCGCCACCAGCAGCGCCGCAGACGTGGCCTCCGTACGCATCCGTTTCTCGAAGAGAGCTGTGCTCGCCCAGCACGCAAGCACCGGCCAAAAAAGGAATTCTTTTTGCACCACCTTCCCCACGTGTGGGTGAGCCCTGGCCCAGCCCCCCTTGTTTGGTTTGTCTGTTTTCTTTATTTCTTTTACCCTACCCCACGGCATACATGCAGGCATAGCGCCTACCCCCTACCCCCCTACTCACAGGATGTTAGTCATTACAAGAAACAGGCTCGCGGCAGGTGCCTGCCAAGCGGCCGTGGGCTCTCAGGTAGGCTCTGGGGTGCTCTGGGGTGCTCTGGGGCCACTCGGGACCGCTCGGGACCGCTCGGGACCGCTCGGGACCGCTCGGGACCGCTCGGGACCGCTCGGGACCGCTCGGGACCGCTCGGGACCGCTCGGGACCGCTCGGCCTCGCTCGGCCTCGCTCGGGGGCGCGGCTGGGACATTTGCGGCCCGCCTCCGGCTGGCTGGGCTGCACGGCTGGGCGGCGCGGAGGTGCTGCAGTGTGAGAAGAAATTGTAAACAATTCATGAGATTAGCAGCAATAACAGCAAAGCACTATGGAAACTGCGCCGCAATGTGCGGCGGGCACCGGCCACGGGCCAAACACATCATACCTAGGTCCCTTCATACGCTCCTGGAGCCCAACCATGTGCGCCGCGATCTTCATGACCGCGGCAAGCAGGGTGAACGAGCCGCGCCACGTAGTGCACAGAGCCATACGGTTGTCCACTACCTGGCCAATGAGGTGCTCCACACGCCCACGGTAGTGCTGCACCGTCTTGTTGAACCGTTGTTTCTCGAGGGACAGGTTCCGGCCCTTCCATTCTGTGATGATCTGCCGCTGCCCGACGTAAGCCTTGCTTGTCCCCAAGACCATACTCCCATGGCTTGATCCGCGCCTGCAGGAAGCTGGCCCAAGCGCCGCGCCCCCGCCGGTCGAACTTTAGCATCTAGGCCGTTGGGACAGCTCGGGACGGCTCGGGACGGCTCGGGACGGCTCGGGTCCCTCGGGTCCCTCGGGACCGCTCGGGACCGCTCGGGACCGCTCGGGACCGCTCGGACACTTTCGAACATTGCTACACTCCGTTGTGACCGTGCATCCATGCATCCAGGAGTGCCAGAGACACTTAGCAAGGAGGCTTTGCAGCGTGTTTCTTGTAATGACCAACATCCACAGGTCTCCAGAAGATTGCTGACGGGTCGTACAAAGATAAGCGAGCTAGGGGTCTTCTTCCAATCTGCCAAACGGCAGGCGGCATTTCGGGCAACCTCGCAAGGGGGTACAGCGCGCCTCCTTGGCAGCCGCTCGACCCCGACTCCATGTGTGCCATTTGCCGAGCCATTTGCCGAAGAATTTCAGCCCTATTCCAAAAGCAAAAGCAATATCGGACGATGGGTTCGCATCCTCTCTTCACAGCTGCCTGGCTGAACAGCATACATGTACATGTGTACTCGAGTACCACCCACACGCTTGCGCGGTCCATCTTGGCCCACCCGGCGAACCTCAGAGGTTCGGCCTGTCCATTCAAGCTGTCCTGAGGTTCGGCCTGTTCATTCAAGCTGTCCATGAGCGACGCCGCGGTGCGCGCATACCTCGCCGAGCACGGAGCTCCGTCGGCGGCGTCCGCGGCGCAGCAGGCCGCGCTCGACGCCTGCACCGTCGACCAGGTTCCGATCCTGCAGCTGCTCTATCAGCCGTGCGGCGCCGGCATGCACGGCTTCGCGTGTGGTGTTCGGTGGGGCGTCGACGAGGAGTTCCTCCCGTCCCCTCGCCGCTGGCTCCGCCAGTGGGGCCGGCCGCACGCGGCGCTTTGCCAGCGCGGCTTCTTTGCTGCCCTTGCCGCCGTCCTCACGCGCGCCCACTGGGAGCAAGAGTGGGACGCGCAGCCCTTTCGCATCGCAGCGGTGCCGCCCCGCACAATGGGCAAGATGGTGCATCAGCTGGCGACGGCAAACTACTACCACTTCACCCTTGGCCCGAGGCAGCGGCCGGCGCTGCGCGGCTCGCCTGCGCCCGGCTCGCGCTTCCGGCCGCTTCCCCAGCCGGGCTTCCGGTGGAACGTGCTCGACTTTGGCGGGGGCGGGCGCGAGGAGATCGACTTTGAGCGGCTCAGCAGCATGCCCGGCAACGTCTTCTCCCGCCCGCTCGCCGCGGGCCGCCGCTGCGCCGCCGTCCGCGCCGCGTGGCACTGCCTCTGGCACCGCTTCCCGAGCCAGCCCCTCCCGCACGCGCCTGCGAGAGGGACGGCGGTGGCGCAGGCGGCGGAGGCGCTCTACAACGCCTCCCTCGCCGGCGAGCAGCCCGGAGGGATGATGCAGTACGTCGCCGCCACAAGTGTCTTTGGCGCCTTCACGCAGCCCACACAGGCGCCGCTTGCACGCCCTCGTCCACGGCACACGACAGACGGCACACGACGCACGTCCACGGCACACGCCTCACGACTCACGGTCCACGACTCACGGTCCACGACACACCTCCCTCGCCCTCGCCCGCCACCCGTCCGAGGACGACCTTGGCTCCAGGCCTCGGCCCCCACCCCGGCCCACGCCCCCCTCCTCGCCCTCCTCGCCCTCCTCGCCCTCCTCAGGCCGTGCGCGACTACCTCGCAGAGCACCTGCGGGCGGTCTGCCACGTCGGGGGGCCCTACTGCGGCGGCGGCGGCGGCGACGCGCCCGTCGCGGCGGTGCACGTGCGGCAGGGCGACTCGTGCGACCGCAAGGTGGACGAGCCAGGCCCGTGGAACGCGATGTGGCGGCCGGACCCGAAGCGGCCGGGCAAGCTCACGCGCGAAGGCGTCGGCCGGCGCTGCTACTCGTGGCGCGTGTACCGCCAGCAGCTGCAGACCCTCCGCGCAAAGTACGGCGTGCGGACGGTGCTGCTCGCCACCGACGACCACACCGGCGAGGTCGTGCGCGCGCTGCAGGGCGAACGCGACTTCAACTGGGTCCCCGTCTCGCCCCGCTTCGCCGACAGCAGCTCCGCTGCCGGTCGACGAGTGATCAGCCGGTCGACCCCGCTCTAGGTCTACCTCGACTACCCGCGGCAGCAGTTCCGCAAGCGCGCGTGGATGGAGTTCCGGTCCGACCTCGACGAGAACGCGCCCTTCTCGCTCGCGGCGGAGCTCGAGCTCCTCTCGACCGCAGACCTCTTCGTCGGCAGCATGGGCTCGCACACGTCCCGCTCCGTTTACATGCGGATGGTCTCCTCCTCGCGCACCTCCCAGCTACCGCCCTTCATCTCGGTCGACGGGTACGGACTCTGCTGCGACTTCACCGAGGAGTGTGGTGTGAACAGCGTCTCTTCACACCTCTAGCTGTGAACAGGTACGGACTCTGCTGCGACTTCACCGAGGAGTGCACGCGCGAGCAGGTTCGCGGCCGCGCCCGGCCGGTGCGCGAGTGCATCTACCGATTCGGCGCGGTGACGGGCGGGGAGCAGTGGATGTACCACCGGGGGTGAGGTCTCAGCGACCGGCGATGTGTGTGAAAATGGGTTGAGAGGCGGGCAGAGCGCCTGTCTCAGCGGCGGCCGGCGGGGTCCTTCGTCGTCAGCACACTCCTCTATACCTCTCTTCTACCGAGGAAGGAGAGAAGAAAAACACCGCGCCGCGACTCGACTGTCTCAATCGCCGCACGGCGCGCGGCGGCGACCGCCAGCTTCACATATGCAGTGCGCCGTGTGTCCTTCCAGCCCCGCAGCGATGGCTCTGAGCCTACCCTGCAGCCACGTGATGTGCGCCTCGTGTGCGGCGTCGGCGCTGGGCCGCACACGCCGCTGTCCTGTGTGTGACGCAACCGCCACGTCAGCAGCGCCTGCAGAGCCGTCAGCGAGCACAGTTGTCATCAAGCACAATGGCGCCGCCTTTACTCTCGGCGTCGTGGACGATGAGCCGCTCTATCCGCTGTGCGTCTCTGTGTGGCGCTACCCCGCTGGCCGCGTCAAGCTCATCTCGCGCGGCACGGTGCTAAAGCGGGAGGAGGCGCGTGCAGTCCCAGGCATGGTGCTGCAGTTGATGGCATCCAGCGGCGCGATCGAGCCAGTCGCGATCCCTAGACTGCGGGTGCGATCCGCGGAGTGGTGGGAGGCGGCCACCGGCTTCCTGCGAGCGACGTGGACGGCACTGCCCGCCCGCGGCCACTGGCTGTCGTGGATGTGGCGGTTGGTGAGTACCGTCACCCTCTTCTTTCGCTCCCTCATCGCACCGATGCCTCCGCCGGCACCTCGCGAAGGGCCGCGGTAGGGGAGATATTGCAGTCGCAGTGGCCGCCCTGCGCGTGAGCGTTTTCGCGCGGCTGCGAGAGCCTCTCAGCCGCGCGCGTACTTTTCTCGAATCACAGTCAGCCGCGCTCGCGCCCTAGTGGCGCGTTCGAGAGATTTTGCATTTTCCTTGGTATGCCTCGTTGAGCACCGCCGTGTACGAGGCGATAACACATGAGACATGTGTACGTTGGGCTTGGCGCGCTTCCTTGCGCCCCGTATCTAGGGGTTCACATCAAGAGCCGTACGCTCGTTTTACTTCGTGATTTTCTCGAGACGTCCCGACACGTGTGTGGGTGCCCCCCCCCAAACGCCCCAAATCCATAATGGTTTATTTCATGCCACCAATCTCGTCGCACTCGCCGACTCTGTCGACTCTCGCGCTCAAACTCTCCACAACCACTCTCGACAGTACCACCGGTATACACATAATGATTCACATACGTGATATGAGTCTTCACGCAGACAGCAACTAGCTCGAGAACCTCGGCTCGACCTCCACAATCTCAAAGTGAATGCCCGCGATGGTGTGTGCCTCGCGCCGCCCCGTCGGGCTCAGGAAGGTCAGTGGCGGGTAGCACCACTCGGCCTCGCCGGGGAAGCAGCTCAGGAAGCTCAGGTTTGCGCCGCGGTCGATAAAAGATCGCGCGACAATCTTAAAAAGCAGGGCGTGCATGGTGTCGCCCTGCGCATGCCCGAGCGCGTACTGCACTGCCACCAACAAAGAAGTGGTCCCGCTCATCGGGGCGAGCTCGGTGCCGCCCTTGGCGAAGAAGTCCACCTCGCTCTCAACATTGCGCAGACCGCGCCACACGTCGACCGACTCATTGGCGTCGCGGCGAGCGGCCGACACAGCGCGCAGCCGCCTCAGGCCGTCGGCGATGAAGGAGAGGGTCACAGGGAAGGGATAGGCTTGCTGTTGGCACCCCTTGGAGTCTCGCTTCTCCTGCTTGCGGAGCAGGCTGTTGATGCTGCGGAAGGCAACCGCGAGGTGTAAAGACGCAGCGCGGCGACGTGGTGCGGTCTCAACCCAGCTAGCAGCGCGTTGGGGTCGTCGCAGAAATCGGCCAACGCGAGGCCAATGGGACGCCCCTCGTCCATAAACCCGTTGGGCCACCTGCGGTGCGCGAGGTCGCCGGTCCGCCCGTGCAGCACGTAGTGGAGGCACAGCCGGTCATCCTCCGTCCCGTGCTGCAGAAACTCGCGCTCGATGCTAGCGACTCCCTCGCTCATCCCCGCCCACACCTCCTCCTCGGGCACATTACAGAAGGCTATGACACCGAGGGCAGCGTCGACCGGCCGCCCAGTCATGAGGCGGCGAACCTGGAACTTGTTGGAGGCGACAACATGCTGTACATGTGTGTCGTTCGCGACAACCTTGGCGCACATGGTAGCGAGGACCGAACTCAGCGGCACGAGCCCCTCCCGCCTCTCGCTCGGATTCGCAACGTGGATGCGCAATGCCAGCGGTGCAAAGGCACGGGCGCGACGCAGTGCAAACAGAGCGGCGTGCGATGAACCCGGCGATCGTGCAAACGAAGGACGAGTGTGCCGAGAATGATGACATCATTCTCAACGATGGTGATGAGATGCTTGGCATCAAGGCCATTTTCGGCCATTGCGCTGCAAATCGTGCAGATTTCGAGCGGCGGCGGCGGCGCTGGCGGCGGCGGTGACGGTGGTGGCGGCGACGGTGGCGGTGGTGTTGGCGCTGGAGGCGGGGGCGGCGTTGGCGGCGGCGACGGTGGCGGCGGCGGCGGCGACGGTGGTGGTGACGACGGTGGAGACTCAGGAAACCCTGCTGTCGGTGATGGTGATGGTGGTGGCGGCCATGGTGATGGTGGCGACGGCGATGCTGAGGGCGGTGGGGTGTACATCGGCGGGTCGCTACCGTCGTTGGGGTCCCCGTTGGGGTCCTGCCATGGCGGTGGGTACGGCGGCAGTGGCGGTTGCTCCAAGTCGCTGACGCTGAGGCAGTCGGAAGCCTTCAAAGCGTGATCGACCAGAACGCACACGCACGCCACAAGCGCGACGTCGAATATGAGCGTCGCCCAAAGAAAGCGGTAGGTCCTATCGCGCAGCACCCATCTGGAAGATGAAATACGGTCTCGGGACAGGGCCGAACCCGTGAGGACAACGAAGAGCAATGAAGCCGGGTTCAGATGACAGCAGGAGATAAATATGGCGATGGAGACGAGGGACGTGCTCGTCTCGCGCAGGACCCGGAGCCGTTCGACTGGGCACGCCGAATCATGGGGCGACGCCGTGGCGGTCTCTGCAGCAGTGTGCAATTCGTCATGGACCGCGGACAGCTCAACCTCAGCGTCCGCCGCCGCCATACCGCAGGCCGCAGCAGTTGCTGCTACGGGCGGCTGCGCTGCTGACGGGCTGCGGGCGGTGTGCGGCGCGTTGGCAATGTGCCCGGCGGTCCGTTCACGTTCACAGTTTGGGATAAGAAACGCTGAAACGCGACAGTGGGGGCGAATCACACAGAGGGACGGCGCCTCATCATAAGCAGAACGCCCCACATAACTCGCCGCTACGCGTGAGAGTCTCTTTCCGCGGGTGTGATAAGTGAATCTTCAACTCGTACCAACCAGTAAAGTAGTCGATCGCTGCAACCTCAGGGCTTCTCGGTACTCTATAAGGCACAAACCTACACAAACCTGCTGCGCCAACCGCAGCCATGACTATCCCAAAGAGGAGGACAGGTAAGCACGCCCACTACGTATCCAGTTCGGCGCCGAGCCCAGTTGATCATGGCTCGAGAGCCGGCGGCACGCGCCCGTCCAGGGGCTGAGCGGGCGGGGCGCTCTGAGCCCGCCGCCTTGGCGATCTTCGTCTTGCAGACCGGGTGGCGGCGGCAGGCGTCCGAGCTTCGAGCCTCCTCTGCGAGCTCGCCGAGCGTCGCGACGCTGCACTCGCCGCCACGCCGGGAGTCAAGGAGCAGCACCGGGTGGAGGCAGCAGCGACTCCGACGGCGAGCGCAGCGCCGCGCGGAGCGACGCGAGCGCCGGGCTCTCGAGGCGGCGAGCCGCCTCGGCGTTGCCGTTGGCGTGCACGACCAGCGGCTGCTGCTCGGGCGCGCCAGCCGCGGCGCGGTAGTGCACGCGCAGCGAGCCGTTCTGCAAGACGCGGAGGCGCGCCTCCGAGCGGTTCGTGAGCGCAAGACGTGCAGACAGGGTTGCCAGGTGAGAGCGAATGGCGCGGTTCACGCCTCGCACAACAGAGAGAGAGATGCGCTCTGCTTGGTGGGACATAAAAGAGAGCGAGTACTTGGGCGAGTAGGCCGTGCGGTCGACGCTGCCGCGCGCGACTTTGCGCGCGAGGCGGCGCAGAGCTTGAGTGTGCGTGGTTGAGACCACATTGCGATTCGTCCCTGTCTCACTCTCAGCGTCTCAGCGTGTCTCAATAGATCCATCACTCCGTCTCACTTCCGTCTCACTGCAGTCTCTTACTGCCTTCTCGTCCGTCTCAGCGCGGCAGGCTCCCGAGAGTGCCCGAGAGCGCCCGAGAGCGCCCGGGAGTGCCCGAGAGTGCCCGAGAGTGCCCAGATTGCCCGAGAGTACCCGTGCAACGTCGTGATGTGGTCGGGGCAGTGGGAGGCGCCCGAGAATACCCGATTGCCCGAGGTTGCGTGCTTGGGCTCCTGCCACTGCCCCGAGGCGACCACTGCACATCAGACCACATATCACGAGGAAACTATTGAGACACGATGGGACGCTGAGAGTGAGACAGGGACGAATTCACGTGAGACTGAGACGAATCCCCAAAATTTCCGTTCTTGCTCGCCTTCCCTGGGACCCCGAGTTGCGTGACTGTCTCTGTGCGATTTCGGGCCCGGGGCTGTGCGTTATGAACATGGTTACTCGAGTATGAAGACGCCGTTGCGAAGTGCAAAGGCCGCGCTGTCAAAGCTCAAATGGCGTCCACACGCTGCGAAATCAACCCTCAGGCAAACGTGCTCATCTACGACGACACGAGAAATGACAGCTTCACCGCGTGGGAGAGACAGTTCTGGGCGTGGTGGTCGTCGGAGGACGCCTCCGTGCGGCCACAGCTGGTCACTGCGCTCGAGCTGCGTGCCTGCCGCCTCGACGATTACGGCGCACTCCACACGTGGGTCCATCCCGCGACAGGCAGCGCGAGTCAGAGCCTCGACGATGCTACGCGGCGAAGCGTGTTGGGGCTAGCTGCGCGCGGCGCGCTGTTTGTCGGATCATTTGACAGCGCGGCGCTCCTCGGCCTCTTCGACGCGCCGCTGGAGCGTCCTTCCGACCTCGCGGGGCTTGCGGCGAACGGCAGCAGCACGGTGAGGCTGACACCTACTCGGGTGCCAAGCGAGGAGCGGCGCGCTGTCTACCTCGGTGGGGCCACGCTCGACGGCGAGGAGCAGGCAGGGGGGCAGGCGACCGCCCCTCCACCTCTGCCCCCGGGCGGGTCTGTGGCCGCCATCTTCTCCGGCCTGTCGAGGGCGCTGCCCGCCGTCGTGCGGGTGCGGCCTCCGGAAGGAGCCGCGCACCTGCTCTGCTCGTCGGTCCTCCTGACGGCGAGGCCGAGGGACGGCTCGGACTCCCTGCTGGGTCTCGTGGACGCAAGCAAGAACTACGAGCTCCGCCGCGCCCTGATCGCAGCGGAGCTCACGCACGGCGCGGCGGAGCGGCAGAAGGCGGCGGTGCTCACCTTTGTTACCGGCTCGCTCGGCCTCGTCGCGGCGGCGATCCTCCTCCTCCTCCTCACGCCCCTCCTCTGCCGCCTCTGCCGCCGCGGGCCGCCCTGCCCTCGCGCCGGCGATCCGCCACCGCGGCGTGGCAGCGGGAGCAAACTCGTCTGCAAAAGAGTCTCTCTCTTTCTTTTGCGGATAGGCGCAGCCAAGGGCGCACCGGCGCGCGGGGCATCTCCGGCGCTGGCGCGGCTGCGCCGCTGGGTCTCGTCCACTGCGGTCTCTGCGCGCTCCAACGCCACACTCCCAAAGAGTCCCGCTCCTCCATCATGAGCGCGCGGGCTGCGTTGGGTTTAGGCACCGACGCCTCTGATCATGAGCCCCGTGGAGCGGGTCGACTCGACCGCGGAGCTCACATCGTCCGCGTGACCTCATGGCTTTACCTCATGGCTTTACCTCATGGCTTTACCTCATGGCTCGAACCGCGCGCGCCGGCGCGCCGCTGCGGTCGGTTGGTCGTGGCCGAGATCCTCATCCTGGCCGAAGTCATTGTGCCGAAGTAGGAGCTAGAGTAGGAGTCAGACAGCGCAGCAGAGGAGAGACGCACGGCTCCCTCTCTCTTTCGGGGCACTGGCCTTTGCCCACTTTCTTCCTTGTGCTACTTATTTTTAACGAGTCAGAGACAGACGAGAGAGCCTGAGAGGGTGGTGTGGCGGCGGTCGGTTGTGTGTGGTCGGTCGTGCTCGGTCTACCCGCTCTCTCTCTCTCGTCAACTTCAAGTTCATTCATTCAGTGCGAAAAAGAAATCAAGCGAGCTTGGTCAGCTTGCTGTCTGTGGGCCCGAGAGCGATATGCCATGTGCGCCTTGCGTTTGTTTCATTACATCGAGGTTAGGTTAGGGGTATGGGTGGACGCGGGACAGAATGAAATGATCGAAGGCTCGCTCAAAAAGAAAATCATCGTGCGCAGGTTGGTCACTGGCCCCTACTTGCTGCCATGAGCGAGCAGCGCACATGTGTGCTGCCATGAGCGAGCAGGGGCTGTGCCCGGAGCGGGCCCCGGTGGCCAGGCGGCGCTCTGCTCGGCGCGCCTCGCGGGCCGCCCACGCGGCGCCTCATGTCACCCAGGCGTCGGTGGACGCTGCGGCTTCAGTCGCAGCTGACCGTATTGCGGGAAACCGCCGGTCCGAACCCACGCATGACGGTGCCGTTCGCAGCCGCTACGGCTCCCCTCCCGTCTGGGCCGAGGTTGCGTCGGGCTCCAGTGCTCGTGCCCACGCGCAGCGCATCGGGCGGGAGGCGATCGAAGGGGAGCGCGTGGGCGGCGGCGGCAGACGGCACGCCGTAAGGGAAGGGGAGCCGCAACGGCGCAGCGGCAGCGGGCAGACGGTGGCGTCAGCGTCTCAAGCAGAGGAGCTGCGGGTGACCGCGTCACTTGGCATGACGCCGCAGTACGCGGCCGAGCCCGGCGCGGCTGCACGCCAGCAGCGCTCGCTGCGACGCGCGGCGGTGGCGGCGGCGGCGGCGGCGGTCTCGCACCCACCCGGCCTGTCGCGTAGCCGGGACACGGCCGCCTCGGAGGGCTTCTGCAGTGATCGCGCGGCGGGGGTCTCCTCTGCTGGCAGCGAAGGCGTCGCCACGGCACCCTGCGCTGGCGCGGGCGAGGAGCTTGCTGCTGCGCCCGACTATGCGACGCACCGGATGGCGGCAATCGCGTCGGCGCTGGCGCAGGGGGGCGGTGGGTCGGCGGCGCTGCAGCAGGAGCTGCAGCACGCGCTCGCGTGGCAGGCGACGCGCGGCCAGTACCCTCCCCCGCCGGCCATCTTCGGCCATGCCTCCGGGGTAGCTGTACCTGGAGGGCTGGCTGTGCCTGGAGGGCTAGCTGTGCCTGGAGGGCTAGCTGTGCCTGGAGGGCTAGCTGTGCCTGGAGGGCTGGTGTCTCCAGTGCCTCCGGGGGGCGCGCCGCTCGGCGTGCCGGGGGTGGGCGGGGAGGTCTACGCCCTGGGGGAGGGGCACCTCCGCCCGCTCGGCCCCCGCGCCCTCGCCCCCGCCGGCCTGCCTCCCACCGCAGACAGCAGCCTCCTTGCCTCCTTCCCGGCGCCGCTGCTCGTGCCGCAGCTCGCGCAGGCGCAGCTCACGCAGGCGCAGCTCGCCTACCCCGACGGCGGCGTGGCCGGAGGCCTGCTCTACGCTGGCAGCGGTGCGTCGCTCGGTGCGCCGCCATCGCTTTGCCCCCCCCCACCACCACCACCAAAACACACACACACACACACACACACACACACACACACACACACACACACACACACACACACACACTGCACCCCCCCTTTCCCCTCCACCACGCCAGGAGTGCCTCCCCCGACGGTGAGTCAGCTCGCGAGCCCAGTCGTGTACGGCTTCGCGCCGCCCGCGCCGGTCGTGTACGGAGTCTTGGCGATGCAGCCCGCAGCGGCACTCTTCCTCGCGCCCGACGTCGCCGGCCACTCCCTCTCCGCCATGCAGCGCCCTCCCGCGCACGGCCTCGCCGGTGCGCCGTACCCCGAACCGTACCCCGGGCTGGCCGAGCACTCGCCGCTGCCGCAGATGGTGCCAGTGCACGCGAGCCACGCCGGCCTCGCCCCCGCCGCCGGCCTCGCCCCCGCCTCCGTGCCGCACGCTATCCGCTCCGCCTCTCCGCTCTCCGCCTCTCCGCTCTCCGCCTGTCCGCTCTCCGCCTCGCCGCTCTCCGCCTCTCCGCTCTCCGCCTTCCACTACCCGCCTCGCCACGCGGCGGCGTCCCCGCCGCTGCCGCCGCTGCCGCCGCTGCAGAACGCCAACCGCGCCCGCGCCGTCGGCGATCGCGCCGGCCGCATCTTCTCGACGCAAAAGACCGCCTACTACATGGAGCCGGGCGACCCCAACCCCGTCCTCATCCTGCCGCCGGAGCGCGACGCGCTCGAGCCGCCCGCCGCCGCCGCCGCCGCGCCCTCGCCGATGGGCGGCGACGCGGCGGCGGCGCTCGGCGCGTCCTTCGGCGTCTCGCTCGCGGTCGTCTCGATGATCAAGCAGCCCGCCAACTTCGAGACGTGGCTCAGGCCGAGACACTGCCTGGACACTTCTCACACACCTCCTGCACACCGCCTCGACACCTCCTGCACGCTGAGGCGTGGCTCCGGCGCCCCACGCCTTGCGCCCGCTCCGCCGCAGCTTCCACCGCGACTCGCTAACCCTAACCCTAACCCTAACCGCAGCTTCCACCGCGACTCGCTAACCCTAACCCTAACCCTAACCGCAGGTACCACCGCGACTCGCTGGGCGTGACCCGCTTCTACTTGCGCGTCGAGGACACGCCGTCGCTGGAGGCGCTGCTCTCGTCGCCGCGCTGGGCGGGCTTGGTCGAGGCCGAGTTCCACTCGCGCGGGGAGCGAGACTACTTCGAGCAGATGGACCGCCAGTCGGGCCACATCGCCTCGGTCATCCCGCGCGCGCGCGCAGCGGGCCTCACGCACCTCCTGCACATCGACGACGACGAGCTCGTCTACTGCGCCGCCGGGCTGCCGCCGCTCTTCCGCCTGCTGTCGGCGGCGGGCGTCGAGCGGCCGAACGTGCACATGCAAAACGTCGAGGCGCTGCTGCCCGCGCCGGACTGCGACAACCCCTTCGCCGCCGTCCGCTCCTTCCGCCACTTCCCGACGCAGTATTGCTCGTACACCAACGGAAAGTCGTTTGGCGTGCTCGCCGCCGCAGGCCTGCGCTCGCACGGTCCGCACCACTTCCGCTCCGCCGCGACGTGCGGCGGCGGCGGCGCTGGCTCGCTCGACCTGCCTGCGGGCGTGGCGGTGGTGCTGCACTACGAGAGCGCGACGTATGCAAAGTGGCGCACAAAGTACCTCGAGCTCGCGCGGCGGCACGGCGATGCGCCCGAGGTGCTCTCGCGTGTGCCCTTCGCCTTTTACCGCCAGTCGCTCTCGAGCGCGCGCAAGCTGCTGCACGCCGAGGCCGAGGTGCGGCTGCGCACGCCGGCAGCGGCCGAGCGGATGCGCGCCGCCGAGGAGGGCGCGGTGCGGCTGTGGTCAAAGTGGAAGGTCGAGCCGGAGGGGCTGCCGCCGCCGCCGCCGCCCGGCGAGACGCCTCTCGTCCTCCCGCAGGGCATCACGAGGCTCTCGCCCGGCGGCGTGACGGCCTCGCCGGGCCGAGCGGCGCCCGATGGGTAGCCCTGGAGACGCGCCTTGCTTCCGCCCCGCTGCGCCAGCCGGAGTGGCGAGGCAGGGCGGTGCGCGGGGGAGGGAGGGGGAGAGAGAGAGAAGCAAGCGAGAGAGCGCGCAAGAGAAGGAGCAGAGCAGAGGAGAGCAGAGGAGAGGAGAGGAGAGGAGAGGAGAGGAGCAGAGCAGAGCAGCAGAGCAGAGGAGAGCAGAGGAGTAGAGCAGAGGGGAGCAGAGGAGTAGAGCTCGAGGAGTAGAGCGGACGGGACACTGTTGAGGCGATCGTTGCGGCCCCCGCCGTAGGTTGTGCCCGCATGGTTGTGCCGCACCAGCTCGCCCTAGAGTGTAGAGAATCGTAGGAATGTGCTGTGTGTGTGCTGTTTAGACTAAGCTTATAACACTCTATATCAGGGGACAGGTCACTTCGCGGCCTCAGCGCGACCGCTCTGACGATTTTTTGTGCAGAACGTGTGCGGTCTCTCTGCGGAGTGGAGAGGAGAGCCCGGCGGGCCCCGAAGCTACTTCATCCGCGAGTACGATCCCTGCCTGACCATGTCACCGAGACTGCCGAGGAGGGAGATTAGGCCGACGGCCATATTCACGGCACCCACGCACACGCCGAACGTGCCGGCGAAAGCAAAGTTGCAAAAGCACGCCAGACCAATGTGGGCGACGGCGGGCGGCGGTGAAGCTGAGGCCCAGATGCCAAGGAAGAGAGGCCCCCAGATGTCCAGGCAGGCGCTCGGCTCGAGCGGAAAGGCTGAAAGGAAAGCTGGATTGCACGAGCTGGACAGATCACCACAATCCAGCTTGGGCATTTCGAGCTGGTTGACCGTAGGCCATGCATGGATGAGCCCGACAGCGATCGTGCCGACAGCGCCGACGGCAGAGAGCGATCGCGTGGCGTCGCTCATCGTCGTGTGTCCACGGCGGTTTCTGGTAGCGCTCTGAGAGCTGGCTCTGGGAGCTGCTCGCCGCCGCAGACTCTTAGTTGTCGAGCACTCCACACAAACAGGGAAGTCGGCGGCAAGTGTATTTTATTTTTGCTTCGGCATGCCGGGGTAGGTAGGGTAGGTCTGGGCCCTCCCGCCGGGTTTTCCCCTCTCTTCACGCTGGAATTTTCACAGCAGAAAAAGAAAATTTCGGCGAAAATCACGACGTCAACCCTCCCCAAATGGGTGATCTGATGCTTGTAGGGCTTGAGAGTGGCCTGCCATGTCACAGGAAGGACTGTGGTTGCAGGAGAGTACCACCATCCATCACTTTAGTTGGTGTAGTACCCCACCTTCACCCGTCGGTGATTTCTTTTTTAGTTTCCCATAAGTAGGGTAGGTAGGTAGGTAGCTAGGTAGGGGCAGGGCAGGGGCCGGCCCGGTTTTTGCAGAATTTCAGCATGAGGTCCGGCCAAGCAAAAATAAAATACACCTGGTCGAGGATATAATAATCCGTGGACCGTGGTCACACGTGTGAAGAGAAGGGCTCTCTCGGCTACGGGGCCGGCCCCAGCTTCGGCTGAGGGCTGACAAGCTGCCGAGCCCAAATCACTGTGAGAGTCGTGATTTCTTGTTGGTTTTCTAAAATCTCTCTCACGTGTGTGTGTGTGTGTGCCATCCCTCCCTTGGGTTGTCTGTTTTCTTTCTTTTCTTTCTACAACACGCGGCTGCTTTTACTTCACCCTCACCCATTTTTCATACTCACGCGCCGCGATGCATACAGAGTGTTGAAAAAAAACAGACCCAAGGGAGGGATGGGAGGACGGCACGCCGCCACCACACAGGGATTTTAAGGAGAGGAGTGTGGTGCTAGAGGACAGAGGGGCGCGAGAAATTCTTTTGGCTATCGCGACAGCCAGGCCACAGCCCGCTCTTCACGAGGCTGCTGGGCGCGAGGTGAGGCCGCTCGAGCATGCGCCGCCTCCAGCCCGCTCTGTGGGCCCTCCTCGTCGCGGCGACCGGCTGGGTGATGGGCTCCGTGGAGCTGACGCAGGCGCTCATGACGACGGCGGGCGGGCGCTTTGAGACGGCGAGCGGGCTGCGCTCGAGCGCGTTTCTGGTCTCGTTTGGGCTGTCCAAGGCCGCGAGTAACCTGGTGGTCGGCTGGCTGGCGGACCGCGCTGGCCGCCGCACAGCCATGGCCGTCGGCTGGCTCGCCGGCGCAGCTGTCGCCCCGATGATCCACTTTGCACAGGCGTGGGAGGTGGTCGTGGCGTCGGACGTCCTGCTCGGCATCCAGCAGTCCTTCTGCTGGTCGGCTGGCATCTTCGCCATGCTCGACCTGCTCGGGCCGAGCAGGCGCGGGCTCGCCATTGGCCTGCTCGAGACGCTCGGCTACATCGCCATCGCAGCCTCGCGCTCGGCCATCGCCGCCGCCGGAGGGTCGTGCGGCGAGGACCTCGCGCTCGGGCTCGCCGGCGGCGTGTGCGTCGCCGGCGCGCTCGTCTCCGCCGCCTGCCTGCGCGAGACAAATCGGCCGCCGCCACCCGCCGCGCCCGCAAGCCCTGCGCACGACTCCGTCCACCTGGCGGCAGACGGCTCGGCCGGCGGCGCGAGGGGCGGATGCTGCTCGGCGAGCGCGGCGGCGCTTGCGGCGTGCTGCGTGGCGGGCTGCACGCTCAACTTCGGCACTGCCTTCGCGTGGGGCGCCATGACTCGCTGGCTCACCAGCCGAGAGTGCGGCGGCGGGACCTGCGCCGCCGCCGCCGTGTGCACTGGCGGCGGCGGCGGCGGCGGCGGCGGAGGGCTTGCGGCGAGCGTGCTCGTGGGCTACTCAGTGATCAAGGGCGCGGGGCAGCTTCCTGCGGGCGCCGCCGCGGACCGGAGGCTTCCTTGCGGCGCGGGTGCGCGCGGCCCCTCCTCCCTTCGCCAGCCGAGGGATGGCGCTGCCCTGTGAGCTGCGTGTGCGGGCGAGCTGGTAGGCGCGTGGAGCTATGTGGTGGTCGGGCTCGGCCTCTGCTCGGCCTCGCTCGCCTGCTTCTCGCTCCTCGTCGCCCTGGACGAGCCGCCTGCCCCCCTCCCTCCCGCCAACGAGACCGCGCCCTCGGGCGAGGAGGGGGTAGCGGAGAGGCCTCCCCCCGAGCCGTCCTGCGGGGACCCTTGCCGGAAGCTCCTCTCTAGGCGAGGAGGGGCGGGCGGAGAGGCCGCCGCTGAGCGGCGCCGCCGTCGGTGCGGCGGCGGGCCTCACCTCGCTGCTCGGCCTGGGCACCGCCCTAGCGTACGCCAACTTGCAGGCGTGCGCCGCGCCGCTCGTGCCGCCCCACCGCTCCTCCTCCGCCATCGGCGCCGTGCGGTGCGTGCGAGACTTGGGCTACGCCGTCGGAGGCGTCGCCCTCGGCGCGGTGAGCGATTTGTCGGGCCGGCCTTGGGCGGCGCCAGCCCTCGGGGCGGTGGCGGCGGCAGTGGCCGCCGCCCTGTTTGAGGGCGCGCGTGGGCGTGCGATCGCCGCCGAGAAGGCGGCGGGCGGGTTTGGGGCCACGGGATTGCGTGCCGGTGGGTCCCGCCGAGAGGCGCGAGGGCGTTGCGCGAGCGGCAGCGGCGGAGGAGACGTGAGCTTGCGAGCGGTCGGCGAGAGTACCGAGCACACAGTGAGCGTGAGGGCGGCTTTGTGAATTTGCCTTCCGGAGCGCCAAGTCGCTTCTCCGTGCACGGCTCCCAAGCGGGCTGTCGGAGGCAGAGGGAGGCGATGGAGGTGGAGGCGAGAGTGATACAAGAACCCAGTTCAATGGCTGGCAATCGTACTAGCGACAACCACACTCCCGCCGTCCCGACTCTCCTCGAGCTATGCTGCCGCACTGTGGACAGCCTGACCATCATCAACCTGGACAACGCGCTGGACGTCCTGCACTTTGGACGGTCACATTCCATTCCGGCGCTCATCCAGCGTGGCGAGGCCTTCATAGTGAACTCCTTTTCCGGCCTCACCACCAAGCACAGCAGCGACACCCTAGCGGCCGTCATCGGCGAGCCCAGCTACTCGCGGCTCCGGCGAGAGGCAGAGGAGCTCGCAGAGCAGACGGCAAAGTTGCGCCAGCTGGGCGTGGTGGTTGAGCCGCCGCCGCCGCCGCCGCCACCGCTGCCGCAGCAGCAGCCGTTGCAGCGAGCCTCGTCTGCTCCGCCGGTGCCGCCTCCCGCGGTGCCGCCTCGCGCGGCGGTGAGCGCTGCGGAGCGCGCGAGACGGCGCTTCAGCCGCGCGGCGTCCGCGTCGACCGAGAAGTGCGAGACGTGCCAGAAGTCTGTCTACCCCGCCGAGAGGCTCGCGCCCGTCGAGGGCCGCGTCTGGCACAAGCAGTGCTTCCGGTGGCGGATACAGAGGCCGCGCTGGCATGCCCCGGACATGAACTCTGACGTCTCCGAGACGCGTCCCGCAGGTGCGACCAGTGCGGCTGCAAGCTCACCGTCTCCGCGTTCGTGCTCTCCTCGGACGACGGGGCGCCGCTCTGCAGGCCGCACGCCGCGCAGCGCCGCGCCGCCGCCGGCGGGTCGTACGGCGGCGGGGGCGGCGGGGGCGCGAGCAAGCCCGTGCCGATGAGCCGCGCTGCCCTGGCGGTGCACGAGGCCGCCTGCCAGATGATCGACGAGCACCGGCGCGCGTGGGGAGGGAGCCATTGCGTCCGCTGCGCGAAGCCAGTCTACGCGATGGAGCGGCAGCTCGCGAGGACGCACCGCGGCGACAACCTCATCTTTCACAAGGCCTGCTTTCGGTGCGAGGACTGCGGCACGCTGCTGCGGCCAGACAGCTGGGAGGTGCACGGGGACGCGGCGGCGCTCGAGGCTGGACGCGGCGCCCTGTTGTGCCGAGTCCACTTCGCGGCGCGCGTGCAGGCCGAGGGAGGGAACTCTTCATAGAGGAACGATCTCGGTGGCGCTCTGACAGCGCCAACAGCATCTAGAGCCCTGTCCCCTGGGTGGGAAAGCATCGGCGCGCGGCTCTCTTGTCGGTGCGCGCTTTTGTGCGGCATGGGCGGGGGGAAGCATTTTGAATTTTTGGAGATTGGAGAAATTTCGTCTCACTGCACGTGTGCACCGCGCCCCGGCCCCCGCCGGCACCCCGCTGTGCGCGGCTGATCCCGCCCTGGCGCCTGGGTGAGGGGGTGCGCTCTCACGCTCACCGCACGCACGGCCCCACGGGCACGCGACAGCTCTGAGACTGAGTCTGACACGTCACAGGGTCAGACGTTCCTGAGAGGTGAGAGAGAGGTAGCCGTGAAAAAAAGCTCTAGAGGGGGAGAGGAAAAAGAGGTAAGGTCGCTGTCGTCGGAGAGGAGCAGGTCGTCTTCACACGTGTACGTGTCTCACCCCGCCAAGCATGATCATGTGCGCGTAGTCGCGCCGGTCGCGGTCACACTCACAGCGTCACACCAGACACGCCTCAGCGAGTGTGCACCGCGTGACGCCACGCGGCCGGAGACCCGCGCGCCCCGCGTCTGCGACCCCGCCCGGTGTGAGGGCTGCGAGCGCCTCGTCGCAGCGATGGCTCGCAGCGAGCGCCACGGAGATCTGGTTGGCTCGCCAGCGCGCAGCGAGGCGCACCGCCCCGTCCGAGGCGCCCGCGCGCGCCGCCGCGCCGGCCGCCGCCCGACTGGCCCGGAGGGTGCGCAGACTCGAGGTGGCGAGCTCGAGCGCTGCAGCCCACACGAGCGCCTCGTTGCGAGCGCTCACGGGCTCGCCCCTCGCGACCCGCGCCCGCCCGCCCGCGCGCCGCTCGCCGAGATTCATGTTCGCCAGCCGGAGATGCGCGCGCAGCCCTTCCGACGGCCCGTCCCGCGTGAGGTGGTGCCCACCCTCGCACAGGCGGAGCTCGCGAAGCCACGCCGCGTCCTCGCCGCTCGGCGCCCGAACCGCGCGCGCGCCGAGCCGCACGCTGTCGAACGGGTTGGCGTCGCGCGCCTCCACCTCGTACTCGTCCTCGCCCTCGCCCTCCTCGCTCCCCTCGCTCCCCTCGCCCTCCTCCTCCTCCTCCTCCTCCTCCTCCTCCTCCTCCTCCTCCTCCTCCGCTCGCCACACCATCCCATAGTGGAGCAGCAGAGTCGCGTCGTCCAGCCCGCCGTACATCACCGTCAGCTCCTCGCCCGCCGGCACGTCGCGCAGCGCCGTGAAGGTGAATGCGGAGGCGGACTTTTCGTACCGGCCGAGCACGTTCGGGTAGGTGGCGTGGTGGTTCATGAGGTCGCCGACCGGGAAGAGGGCGGGCGCCTCGTCGCCGGGCTCGTCGCTCGCGTCGCCGCTCCGGCTCATCACACAGGCGGCCGCCCAACTAAAGTCGCTCCAACTCGGCGAGGCGGCGCCCGCGACGCGGCACAGCGCCGCGTGCCGCCGCCGCAGGTCTGCCCGCTGGGCGGCCGCTCGCTCCGCCAGCACAGGGCCGCAGAGCGACAGCACGTGCCGCTGCGCCCACATCAACGGCAGGCTCTCCTCAAACGCGCGGCGCGGAGGCAGTGTGCGCAGGTATGGCGCCCATCGCGATGCCGACCCGCCGGCCGCCTCCTCGAGCAGCGCGAGAATGAGGCGGTCCGTCTTCGCGAGCGCTCCGGCGGAGTGGGAGCGTGGCGCAGCGGTGAGGAGCAGCGCGTGAGGCACGACGAGGAGCACGTCGCCTCCCGCCACCGGCCGGGCCGCGTAGAGGCCGCGACCGCTCCGCCGGCTCTCGCCGAGACGGACGCTGCGCGAGCAGGCGCCGCCGTGCGCCAAGAGCCAGTCGTCCAGTCCCTCCATCTCGGACTCGTGCCGACCAGCTGGTGACGACTCTCCCCCCATTTTGACCAAGGCGCCTTCTGAAACCCGAAAAAAATAAAAGCGTGCCGATTTTGTTGTTGTGGTGGCGCACCTCTAGCGAGGCCCGCATAGTATGTGGGAGACTCCTGCCGCCGCCCTTGCCACCCCTGTGTCAGTGTGCCTGTGGTTGCGAGAGACTGCCAGTGAGAAGCTGGAGGCAGGTCGCTAGACTGAGATGAGACCGCCAGTAGAGTTGGGAGTCCACCGTGCACCGCGCTGCGAGCCTGTCGTGTCCCTTGTCAGGAGCAGCAGGAGAGCCCCACCTGTGCCCCTGATCGTCCTTCCAAAATCCTGCTCGTGCAGGTGTGGACCCTGTCCCCCTCCCCCATCCCTCGTTTGGGTTTGAATCTGTTGTTTCTTTCTTTCTTTTTGTGTGGTGGCGGCGTGCCGTCCTCCCATCCCTCCCTTGGGTTGTCTGTTTTCGTATTTTTCTTTATTTTCAGGGATCGAGTCTTTTTCTTTCTTTATTTTCATGCCAGTATGCCAAAAAGTCCTCTCTGAGACAGGCATCCCCGCCAAATGCTCAGCAAATGCTCATCCTCGCCGCCATCTCGAGCGGCATGGCCGCTCCCTTGGCCTTGCCCGCCACATGCGGCCGCGGATGGCGCTCGACGAGCCGGTGCCTCGCCCCCCTCACGCCCCCCGGGCCTTTGGCAAGCCGCTCGTGCGGGACCCCATCCGCCACAGTCGTCTCGGCTGGATCTGCCGACGAGGGCGAAGCGAGGCAACTAACGCTACTCACACGAGGGGCGGCACCGCCGCCGCGGCCTTGCCCTTGGTGGCCTCGCTGGCCGCCTCTCCCTTGCGCGAGCCGCGGGAAACGGCCACAGCCAGGCCCGCGACGAGGACGAGCACGCCGGCCGCCGCGGCGAGCATGGCGTGGGTGCCAGAGGGGGTTGAGATGGCGCCGGCGGCGAGCTCGAGGTAGTGGTAACGGCCTCCCCCGCCGTGGTTACCACCACCGCCGCCGTAGCCGTAGTGGTGATATCCGCCGCCGCCGCCGCCGCCGCCGCCGCCGCCGTAGCCGCCGCCTTGGTGCCCGTGGTCGTGCCATCCGCCGCCGCCGCCGCCACCGCCGCCGTAGCCGTAGCCGTAGTGATGGTATCCACCGCCGCCGTATCCACCGCCGCCGCCGCCACCGCCGCCGCCGCCGCCGCCGCCGCCGAGCCGGTAGACGGACCAGCCGTCTCGGTCCTCGAGGGTGAGGTCGCCGTGGATCTGCGGGAGCGGCGAGGGTTAGAACTCTTCTCCCTGTGTCTTGCATCTCTACTCACGCGGTCTAGCTGTCGCGCCATGTCGCCGAGCATCCCTTCCTCAGGGCAGCAAGCGCACACGGTCCCGTCCAGAGCCCCTTGGCCGAACTCGAACTTCTCACGGACCGAGAATACGGAGCCGCAGTCGCCGGCACGGCGGTGCACCTCCACCAGCTCGGCGCAGGCGGCCATTGTCGTCGAGCCGAACGATTTAGTGTCAATCGACTTGGGGATGATTGTCGTTCCGGGGCAGCCCCCAAGCACCTATCATGCGGCGACGTCGTGTGTGTGCCAGCTGTCAGCCTGTCGACACACGAGCGACGTGTGCCAGCTGTCAGCCGGTCGAGCGACACGTGCCAGCACAGCGTCTAATAGGGTATATGCCAGCGGACCTCGATCCACTTGCCTCTCCCAAGCAGCTCTGCTCGCTGTGCGGTCATCCCGTGCGTGACTGCGAGAAGGACAAGGACCAACAGCCTCATGAGCGATGAGCAACGAGGCGAGCACCACAACCCCTGGAAGGACCAACACGCTCACCTTGGGCGTGCGACTGTTTCATCAACAAAGCATTTTTTTTGCCGTTTGCGATTACAGCGACATCTCCTTCGTGCCGGCAGATTGCTAGAGGTGGAGCAAGCTGCTCTAGCCTCGCATGTTACTCCTGTCGTCTGTTGTGTGATGTTGTGCCCTTGTTTGTTTCTCTTTCTTGGCACCTTGGATGGAGTGCTGGGGGGGGCGACAGGAAGAATGTGGCCCTGAGTTATGTGTACGCCAACTCAGGGTGTGTGGCAGCCAGCTGGCTGTGTGTCTTGTGAGCTTGTTTGTGTCTGTGAGTCGCTCGTGCGTGTCGTCATCATCTGTCTCGCGTCCACCCATACCGCGTTGGTGTCCAGTCCGAGCCTGGCTGTTCTTCACCTTTCTACCTACCTCCCTCCTTCTTCCTGGTGTGGCGGGAGCATTCCGCGTAAATTTCTGGTTGCCTCTACAGTGGCGGTTGCGGGCATTAAGAAAACAGCATTCTCCACTCGGAACACCGTAGACTTGAAAAACAAATCTAAGACTTGGCACTTGGGAAGTGACAAGTGCGCGCCGCCCGCAGGCGAAGAGAAACTTTGAGCTGGGGCTTCCGTTCACACTCGTGTCTGGCCTTTTCTCCGGACCGCGCCTTGGAAATCGCCTCGTGGTTTCAGCGAGATGTTTTCTTTAAAAATGCCCCCCCCCCCCCCACCCACCCACTGCAAGAAGATGAAGTCCACCCCTCCGCTGCTGCTCCGAGCGGTGTCCTATCCGAGCCTGACTGTTTCTCATGCCCCTTTACTTACTTACTTGCCGGCCGCCAGGTGCTCCAAGGCAGCGGGGCTGCTCTTTCTCTCTCTCTCTACGGTACATCGTCGGAGACACGAGAACGAACGTGCACTATTGACCAGACAGACAGCAGGAGACGGGCGCGCACATCACTAATACGTAGACACCGTACTGAACAAGACACCAGGCATGGACACTTACCCGGGCCGTCCCGGAAGCCATGCCCATGGGCCATGGGCCTCGCTCTCCCTCGCAGTAGACAAAGCAAAACGCAGAAGACAGATGCGATCCTAGGGGGCTGCTTTGCAGGCCGGCGAGATGTACAACCGCGGCCCTAGTGGCCCTGTGTTTAGCTCACCGCATCAGCCGATGACATTCTTGGGCGCTGCTGGCTGGCCGTCTTGCCCAATGCCGCAGACGTCCAGCACGATGTCCACCTCCTTCCCGACCGTCTTGCACTCGCCCCAGAAGCCCACAGCAAGGTTGGCCTTCGAATGCCCAGGCACCGGTGGCTGGTCCTTCCAGCACTGCTGCTCGGGGGTGGTCCAGTAGCCAGGGAGCTCGCCGCAGACAGCAGACGGGTGTCCCTCCGGGCATTCAAACTTCGTCTTCGACCAGCTCTGGCTGTCGCCGTTCCAGGCCCACGTGTGATCCTTCGAGAACTGCGAGTACTTCCCCTGGCAGTCACCCACCGAGCCCGGGCAGTCGGTGCACCGAGGGTCGAGATCACCCGCAGTCTTCGTGTGGCAAAAGGGCAGATGCTCGTGCTCGGGGCAGATCCTGTAGTCCGGGATGGAGCATTGCAACACAGGCTTGCGCTTGCTGCACTCGGGACTCAGGTTGGACGCATCGCACACGAGACCACCGGCGTCGGCCGCGCAGTCGCTCATATCATCCTTGGCGCTCCAGGCCGCGCCGGCGTCCACGCAGGCAGGCTCGTTCGTGCCCGGCGAGAATGCGACGAGGGACGAGCTCATGCCGTATCCGTACCACGGCTCGACGTCGGGCAGGTTGGTGAGCGGCAGTGGCGTGTTGAGGTCTCCGTTCGTCGCCACCATGAAGGCTCCATTCATCGCGAACGGCATCTCCCACCGCCCATTGTTGCCCTCAATGTCCCAACTCGCGCGCCTCCACTTCAGATGCGCCGCATCCGAAGGGGCTTTGCGCGCCTCGGGAAGCGGACCGCCCCCGCCGAGAAGAAGGTCGCCTGCTCGTGCTTCGGCACCTTGCCAAAGTCCTCCACCTCGATGTCTTCGTCGCAGTTGTTCCTCACACTGAACTTCTTGACGATGATCTGGCCAGCATTCTTGGGCTTGTGACTGGCCTGGCAGAGCGCCAGGTCTGCGCCCTTGCACGCAGTCGCACCATGTGGCGTGCACACGTGATGCGTGTGGTCGTAGCAGCACATCCCCTCTGCGGCAAGGGCCTTGTTGATGCACTCCTCAATGGTGCAGTGGCGTTCGGTTTGGTAGGCCGGGCAAGCGGGCAGGGCCTCGCTGACTGGTGCAGCCATCGCGATGTCGATGGCGGCAGTGGCGGCGATCACAACAAGCTTTGAGAACACCGGCATGGTTGGTATCCTGCGGACACGGCGCGCGGAGAGACGTGAGGCGCGCACTGGAGGGAGGAGGAGCCGCCGCGGCGTCGCGGCGGAGGTGGCGCGGCAGGCTGGCTGGCGGGGGCTGGCAGGGGCTGGCTGGCAGCGCACGTGAGGGTGTGCGGCGAGTTTTGAGAGTCCTGCAACGTCCTTCCTGAACAAGGCCTATGAAAGGCGGGCACCACCTTGCAGGACGTCTGACATGTTTCGATGAGGTGCAGGTCAGAGCAGCTCGAGCGACGGAGGGTGATGAGGGCCGCCGCGACAGCGGTCGATGCTTTTACTAACGATCTTTATGACCGCGCGTCCTGAAAGAAAGAAAGAATTCACGGGGCGAAAGCAAACGAGGGATAGGGGAGGAGGACAGGGTCCACACCTGCACGAGCAGGATTTTGGAAGCGGCGGTCCTGAAGAAAGAAAACAGACAACCCAAGGGAGGGACGATGGGAGGACGGCACGCCGCCACCACACAGGCGGTCTTCTTCCCAGCTTTGGGGCGTGGTATTTTATTTTGCATAACGGCAAAGCCGCCACATATGCCCACCTCGTCGGACGCCCACCCTGCAGCGAGGGAGGGCGAGGCGATCGAGGGGTCCCGTACCATGCGGAATCGACCCTATCCCACTCAGTGCTCAGATACTCTCAGCCCGCCCGAGCTGAGCAGCCTGCCACACCCGACCGAGCTGGGCTGCCAAGAGACTTGGAGTGTGGAGTCGGCAGCCTCACACCCAGGGCCGGGGAGCTATGAAGCGCACCCAGCGGGCCGGATGCTGGCCGGATGATCGGGATCGGGCGGGCGGGGGGGGCAAGAAGCTGTGCACTTGGAGTAGAGTGTGTCTCGCGCCTTGCGGGGGGGGAGCGGAAAGGAGGAACCTCTTCCCAAGAGCACCACTCTTGGAGCGCCACCACTACCACCCAGAGCGCTGCAAGCAGCGCCGGGCATGACGGCTTAGTTAGAGCCGCGCACGATTTCTTGCCAGGGCAGCTTTTGCGCGTTGCAGTGCGCTGCTGGCTGCGGCTATAGCAGACAGGACATAGATGAAGTCCACCCCTCCGCTGCTGCTGCTCTCGCCGGCGAAGACGCTCAACTTTGACTCGGCGCTCTCGCCGGCGCTCCGCAGCCTCACGCCCACCGAGCCTCGCTTCCTCGAGAGGTGCAGCGCGCTCGCCGACCGCGTCGGCTCGATGAGCAAGAGCGAGATCAAGTCGCTGATGTCGCTCAGCGACTCCCTCGCCCAGCTCAACCACGCGCGCTACTCGGCCTTTGCCGAGCAGCCTGCGCGGATCGCGCTCGGCGCCTTTGAGGGAGCGGCCTACAAGGGCCTGCAGGCTTCGACGCTGGACGCAAAGCAGCTCGAGTACCTCGGCCGCTCGCTGCGCATCCTGTGCGGGCAGTATGGAATCCTGCTACCGACGGACGAGATCCGGCCCTACCGGCTCGAGATGTCGACCAAGCTCGCCGTCGGCGACGCTCCGAATCTCTACAAATACTGGGGCGACTCCCTCACCGCGAGCCTCCGCGCGGAGGAGCCGCCGTTCGTGGTGAACGTGGCGTCGCAGGAGTACGCCAAGGCGCTCGACATGGGCGCGCTCGGCTGCCCGGTGATCACCTGCGCCTTTCCGGGCCCTGCTGTGCACGCCAAGCAGGCGCGGGGCGAGATGGTCCGCTTCTGCGCCGAGCAGCAGGTGGTAGAGCCGGCGGGCCTGCGCGCCTTCCGCGGCTCGAGCGGGCAGTGGAGCTTCATCGAGGCAGAGAGCTCCGAGACGACGCTCGTTTTCCACCGGGGCGCGGCGGCGAGCGCGGCGAAGCCGAAGGCGCCGGCGGCGGGGAAGAGGAAGCGCTGACAGCGGTACGCGTGATGTGCACTGTCGCGCGTCGGCTGCGTGCCGGGTGCTCGCTTGTTCGGTTGGGCGGGCCTTGTGACACTGTTGCAGTAGAGTACAGAGCTACACGGTACACTCTTTCGTCTTCGTGTAACAGCGCTACGCAGCTCTCGTCAGTCGTCTCTCGACGTTGCGGCAGCGCTTTTTATCGAGCGCTCTAAAGCGACCAAAGTTCTCAAGCCAGGGATCCACGCGAGTCCTTCAGGAGCGCTGCCTTCCACCCTTTGTTTGGCCTCACCATCAGCCGCCCGAGCACCATCCCGACGCCAACGAAGCAAGCGCTCGCTGTCGCTCACTCTCTCTCTCTGGGGTCTCTCCTCGCCCGACACGGCTCTCCGCACGCGCGGACGCGAGTGAAACTGAAAGCCGCGCGCGCAAGCCAAGCCAATTATTTGCTCATACTCTCTACAGTAGAACAATGCATATGGGACAACAGAGTACGGTGTAGTGTGGTGGAGCCTGGTGGAGATTGTACATGGTTGCGACATTGTGCCCGACATACGTAATGCGACGCTCATCATGCGGCGATGTCCGTTCATCGTGCGCCGCGGGCCGCGCTCTTGGCCTCTTGCACATGGTTGCGGCGCTGGAGGCGGTGCAGACACAGTGGGAGGAGCCTCAGGGTCGCGGCAAGGTTAAAAGACCACCTCGACGCTGCCCCGACGCCGACGAAGCAAGGGTGGTGGCGAGGGCGGCGAGGGCGGCGAGGGTGGAACCAGCGGCTGCGGAGTGAGCGGTCAGTCTCTGAGGACCGCCGGAACCGACCGAACCCTCCGAAACTTCGGAACGGCTTTTACTTTTTCAGTGTATGTAGCTCTTACGAACATACCCGTGAGAGAGAGAGAGAAAGGTGAACTGCTGACAGGGTTTGCGATGAGGAGCGATCCGAACGTGGTATTCGGGTGATTAGATCACTACCGCCGAAGCGCAAGCGCTTGGAGCAAGGGAACCGCCACGTATGGGTCCCAGACTAGCACCCCACCTCGCGGGCCGACGTTCTGGCCCAGCGAGGCTGCTGCGGAGCACTCGGGGCCGACGTTCTGGCCCAGCGAGGCCGCTGCGGGGCACCCGGCGGCTCGGTTCGCTCTTTTTGTGTTCTGCCTCACGTGCGAGTTGCGAGAGAGAGAGATTTTTAAAGACCAACAAGAAATCACGACTTTCACAGTGATTCTTGAGTTGCGTCGAGTTGCACGCGAGTTGCACGTACTCTCTCTCGAGTTGCATGGACCGGGAAGTCGCACACACGAGTTGCACACGAGTTGCGAAGTGCGAGTTGCGAGATAGATGCGAGTTGCGTGCGAGTTGCGCGAAAAGCCTTGAGTGTGAATAACAAGTCTGTGAAAATGTTAATTAAAGTAAAACGGGGTGACAACATAGCACGGCCGCGTTGCGCAACGCACCCCTTGACCGAATCAGGGTGCGCGGCGACCGAATCAGCGATGAGCGTTTTCCTGACGATGACAACAAAAAAATCCAAATCCCGGTGGTGGTGGGAGTGGGCCGTTAGCCGTTGTTATGGCGGCCAGCCCCAACCCGTACGCGGCAGTCCCGCCGGTGCAGGCTACTCTTAAGGCGATGGGCGAGGCCGCCGGATCTCCCTTTAAGGCCAAGCCTCGCGACGTCGCTGAGCAGCTTCTGAAGCGGTACGGCTCCTCAGATGAAGCTGGCCGGCGTGCCGAGTCCTACCTTGCCACCGGGCAGCACAAGAAGCGCCGTCCGCTGCAGTGGGCGATCGGCGTGGCGAGGGAGCGTATGAGGGTGGAAGCCGCGGCGGCGACGCCGACGCCGGCAGGGGCGACTGTCCAGTCTCTGGTGCTCGCGTCGGCAGGCGCGTCGGCGGCGCCCACACCCACGCCCGTCGGCGGGGAAGCGCAGAGCGCACCGGTGCTGCGCCGGCTTGGCGCTCCCACCGCGGGCGGATCCGCTCTTGCCTCTCGAGTTCGCGCACTCTTCTCACCCGCCGCTCACCATGCGACCATCCCGGACACGGTGCTCAGCCCTGCCGTCAAGAGCTTCGGCTTTCCTAACGCCGTGGCGGGCGACGACGACGGCGGTGGCATGGCGTTCGACGGCGACGGCGGCGACGTGGTGGGCGGCGGCGAGTCCGAGACCGAGGAGCCGACCAACTCGCAGGCGTCGTCGGTGAACTCGGCGGACCTGCCCTCAGCGTCGCAGGTCTCTGCGGCTGAAGCCCTCGAAGAGATGTCCGAGTTGGACGTGGCGCAGGCACGCTGCTGCCATTGCCGCCTCAGCTCCATCCCCTCGCCCTACTTGCGGCCGCCCTCACTGCCTCAGGTCTTCTTCGACTGGCCGTGAGGCTTTCTTTCTCTTGGTTGCAGACCGCCAAGGGCTCTTGGCATACACACACATGCACACACACGAGCACACACACACACACTACACGTGCACACACACACACGCACGCACGCACGCACGCACGCACGCACGCACGCACGCACGCACGCACGCACACGCACGCACACACCACTCTCTCTCTCTCTCTCTCTCTCTCTCTCTCTCTCTCTCTCTCTCTCTCTCGCTCTCGCTCTCTCTCTCTACACACAAGAGGAGAAGATACAGGCAGAGTCACACACACCGCAGCGTGTTCTCTTTGGTTATTTCTTTTACCTTTTCCTGAGTTAGAGAGAGAGAGAAAGAAGAATTCGCTGCGCGCACCTATACGTGTGAGCGGCTCTCGCGGGAGCTAAAGAAAACAGCTCTCACTACTCACAGCAGACAGGCTCGACGCAGGTGCGGACCGCCTAAGTGACTCCGGCCCTCCCCCAAGAATTTTACGAAGGCAACAGACGATGCCGGGTTTCGCGGAACGTTCATGAATCGCCCGTCGCAACGCGATCATGGAATCTGTCGTCGTGCGTTCGGCGCATGTGGACGAGCGCCCGACGGTCGCTCAGCACACGTAGACTCACGGGTCCACATGTCGCTGAGCACGTCCGCACGCCTCGCCTCCTTCGGTCAAGACACGTCACGTCAGTACGACCGACCGAACGGCAAGAAGGCTTGGAGGGCAGAACACCCGGCGACAGTCGCCGACAAGGAAAGGGGCAAAGAGGCATTCAATGAGTTCACATGCCGATGGCGGCTCGGTGAGCTGAAGCTCAGCGAGGTGCACACGCGTCATGTGAGTTACCTCGAGGAGCGCGCGTCGAGCCCGGATGCGCCGCACCACAAAGAGTGGTATGCCCGTCGGCTCGAGCGGGCGCATGTGGCACACGAGGCCCTGCAGACATTCACGAGCTGCCGCAACGCCGCTTTCTCGGTTGGCGACTGTGCTGATTTTGTCTCCACGGTCCACGGCGGGGAACACGGCGCTCGTGTATTGATCAGAGCCAAGCCTCGGAGGGACCCATACGCCCAGACGATGCTGAAAGACCTCCCGGCAATGTCGGCAAATCATGAGCTGAGATTTTGCGGCAGCGGTCGTCCCAAGTACATAATGAACATGTCGGCGGAGTGCATCGTGGATTCCGATGGCGGGCAATTGGTTGAGACTGAGGATGGTATTTTTGTGAGTGCGCGACTGCCGTCAGCCTCGCGACTGGCAGACAAGGAGGTGCGGGACCTGGAGGATTTGATTAGGGCGTGGCTCAAGAGGGGTAGGTACACTCGGCGGGGTGACAGCCACGCAGCTGTCTGCGTGAATTTTGTGGTTGGAGGGCTCAAGGGGGATCAGGACACCGTGCTGGCCATGCCTTCTTCTCACGTGTCTGAGCCGGAGAAGGCTCAAAAGGCGTGAGGCCCTCTTCCTCCCTGCCAGTGCATTCAAGCACTCTCTCTCTCTGGGATCTTCACCTCTCCTGAGATGTAGGCCTATTTGAACGTGATGAACAGGCTCAGGACATTCATCTGCAAGCACGTCATTCCTGCAGTGGAGGCCTTCTTCTTCTCCGCCATTGACTGTGTGCGAGATGACCTCTATGAGATGGGGCTGCGTTTTTCGTTCGCGGATTACTTCAGCACGATCTCGCTGGGGGATCTCTTCGCATCTCGCAACCACACAGATGATGATGCGTGGCTCACCATCTTGGTGGCAGTAGGTGACTGTGAGTTGGGAGGGGGCTGGGCGCACCCTGCTCAAGGCGTGATCCATGCAGTGAAGGCGGGTGACATCTTCCTGGTGAACCCCCTCCAGGGCCACTGCACCAGCTGCTTTGGGGACGCCCTCGCCTCACGCAAGATGATCGCCATCTTCCTCAGTGACAATGCCTTGAAGGCTAGCTGCATCTCCATTGAGGTGGCGAATCGGGAGGGGCTGCAGAGGTGGGTGCCTCAGGTCTGGCGCAAGCGGCGTAGGTAGTTAGGTTTAGGTAGTTAGTAGGTAGTTGTGTTTAGCTGTGTGTGCGGTGTAGAGCCCCCGGTTTGCAGATCCACAGCATGTGCATGCGTCCCAGCCTGTGTTTTGAGTGTGCCTGTGCTCTGTGTGTGGACCTGTGTGGTGCCGCTCTCGCTCCACGGGTCTGTGGCGCTGGGATGCCAGGGCCGCGGCTCTGCCACCGGCCTGGCCCCGCCGGCGCCCTCCGATTACGAGCAGGGTGGTCGCACACGTGGCCTGCACCATGAGAGCGGGCCGCACGCTTCACACGGGTTGGGACGCATGTCGGCTGTGAAGAAGAAAACGGGGCTATGCAACGCCTCTGAAAAGAGAAAAAGAAGAGAATGTAAATAAGTGTAGTGATCATAAGTGTAGATCTAGTGATCTCGCGCTCGTGCCGCGGCAGATTCTTCTTGCGCCCCCCGGGCACGACAGCCGACTCGGGCACTGCCTCGGACGACAGCCTGATGCGCTCGGACGCCGCGCCTCAGGATGCGGGTCTCGTCCACGGTGGACTACACGGTGGCACTCCGGCTTTTCGGGCGCTGAGGCGACACACGCGCTCGCTCGGTGCCGAGGTGACCGGCCGCTCGGTGCCCTCGCCCGAGCATCGCCACGGACACATCACTGCCTCACACGCTCCCGCTGCCGCGGTTAGGCACCTGGGCAAGAAGCTAACAGTACGGCGACGCCGAGCATGTGTACGCGCCGCGCCGCGCGCAGGTGCCGCGCCACACCCTGCCACCGCCCGACGTCTCGACGCCACGCTCGCGCTTGTCCTCGGGAGTACACACACAGCATCGCTCTGTGTACTCCCGACGCACACACCCGCGCCCGCGCACACCACTATCGCAACTGCGACGCTCTCCGCGATAGGCGAGCGCTGCGCGCCGCGACGCGTCAGCAGCCGCGGCGCCGCCTCACACGCTCACGCCCGTGCCGCAGGTTCTCCCGCTCGAGCGCCGCAGGTTCTCCCACTCGCGGGGAGCGGTGCGCCCGGCGGCAGCCGCGCGGCGAGGATGTCCGCGCGGGCGAAAGCCGCACATGGCGCGTGATGCCCTCGCATTGAGAGAATGTGTGTTAGACGAGAGACTGGCGGAATAAGTGGGGCTCGAGGGGCCGAACCCGAAGACGCGGACGAGAGTGTGTGTGTGTGTGTGTGTGTCGCGTCTGTCTGTCAACCGTTCACACCAACACAGCGCACAACAGTCACAAAACAGCGCAAAGTCGACACTTCACCGCTTCTGCTTCTTTGCCTTGCGCGAGGCCTCGAGCTCCATCCCCGCGCGCAGGAGGGGAATGTGGGCCTGAAACATGGTGCGGAAGGCGTCGCGCTCTGCGGTGTGCCCGACGACGCTCTTCATCATGCGCACTGAGACAGCCTTGCCCTCTGGCAGCTTGGGCAGCAGCATCAGCGTCGCCACGACATTCTCGGCGATGGAGAACCGGTCGAGGCCGCGAGGGCACCGCGGTGCGCTGCCGCCGTAGCCGATGCCGAGGAGCTTCTGCGTGCCGCGGTGCAGGTTGAGGCCCTCGCAGCCGGCCGCCTTGAGCCGCGCACCCTCGTCGCCGTCGCAGTGGTAGATGTCGAGCCCGGCGTCGCGCGCCGCCCGCATGCCATCGTCGAGCCGGTCCATCTCATCGCCGGAGAAGATCTCGTACTTGGCGAGAGCCGCTGGCGGGAGGCGGTGGCAGTAGTAGGACGTGTGCAGCTTGAGCGTGCGCGGGTCGAAGGAGCCGATGGCGGCGTCGTAAAGGAGGCGGTTCGACGACGGGAGGCCGTTGTGCTGCGGCGGCTCGATGACGATGTTGTGCGGGTCGGTGGAGATGAGGTACTCGCCCTTGTAGTGGTTCCACTGGTACTTCTCGATGTCGAAAGCGACGATGGGCGTGCCAGTCTCGATGGCGGAGACGAGCTTGTCCGTCACCTTGACGGCCATCGGGTTGTCGCCGCGCGGGTCGGTCTCGCTCGGGAGGACGAGCTGGGAGTGGAAGCGGCGCAGAAGAGCGAAGGCGCGCTCACTCGAGCCGGCAGCGCCCGTCTGCATGACCGCGAGGAGCGCCGGCTGGTTGAGGATGGCGACGTGGTCGGAGTCCTCGCCGCGGTGAGGATGGCCGAAGGCATCATCGACCTCCTTCTTCGAGGCGTAGAGGCCCTGCCGGACGAGCTTGGCCCAGGTGTGCTCGACGGTCTGGTAGCGCTTGTGCCCGCTGGCGGCTCGATCGGCCTGAGTGTTCGTGCCAGAGGGCCGGCTCGGGGTGGAGTTCATGAGCGTGATGCAGCGGTGGCCCTCGCGATGCACGGTCGGCGGGCGCTTTGCGCCGGCAGGACACGAGTCACAAGCCTTGACGGCACACGAAGCGCAGCAGACGAGGAGGGACGGATCGAGCACAAGCCGGAAGTGAATGGCGGAGTAGCAGAGAGAGCAGCGCATCCGGAGAGCAGAGAGAGGAGAGCGTGTCGACAATCGCGCGGGATAATCCATGTGCAAAAAAAAAGAAAACGCTGCGTCGCACTTTCTCATCCTCTCACTCCCAGCGCCCAGCAGCAGCACACTCACTCTGTTCGTAGCGCGCACTGGCCTTCTCGTCTGTTCATAACCCACGCTTCGCGTCTTCACACCTCCTCTGCAGGACTCACCCCTCTACGCTCCCTTTTGCAGGATGAGGCGTAGCCACCTCAGTGCATTCGCGCTCCCTTTTGCAGGATCGTGTTAGTCCCTTGAGGTGTTGTCGATATTTCCTTCTTTTCGTGTTACGCTTACAAGCTCTCCTTGAGTCGCTCTCTCTCTCTCTCGCTGATGCGGCCCGCTGCGGCGCTCGTCTACCTCGCGAGCGTCGCCCGAGTGGTCGCCATCCAGTAAAAACGAACGAGACTTCCGGTCGGCGGTCGTTTCCGATTCGTTTCCCCTCGTGTCCCCAGCGCGTTCCACGGTTCCCAGGTTCAGAAGGACGTGGGAACCGTGGAAGGTTCCCTCAGGCAGGCACGTGGGAACCGTGGAAGGCTCCATCACCACCAGCGCTATCAAAACGTTTGTTCGCAGCGCGATGACGATGAACGCCAGCACAACAAAGAAGCCAGGCGCTACGGCAGTGGCTGGATGGTGGTTGATGCGGATGTGAGTGTACGCGCCGCCGGTATGAAACGCCACGATGTACGCCTGCGCGGCGAGCACCACGATGTCATCGTCGGAGAAATTGGCTGCTGCAACCGTCGCCAAGCAGAGGCCAGCCACGGGGAAGAAAATGGACGGGTACGGCAGGCTGTCCTCCGTGAGCGTATTCAGCATGTGATGGAACGGCTCGGTGAGGCCGATGACGCAGTGCAAGCAGAAGGCGACCGACTGGCAGACGCGCAGAGCTGAGTCGAGCGCATCCATGTCTCCTGTCAACACTGCGCCTCGACCCTGCCTGCCGCCTGGCGAGTAGAGGCACACGCACGCTCTCTCGAGGTCTCTTCCAACGAGGTGCCGCGTCCTCAACCAGAAAGAATTTTTGACGTGGTGCGAGCAGAAAGAAAGCCTTGGTTGGCGAAGGCTAGCGCACCACACACCTCTCCTTAAAATCCCTGTGTGGTGGCGGCGTGCCGTCCTCCCATCCCTCCCTTCGGCTGATGTTTTCTTTCTTTTTCTTTAGAAAGCCCGTGGTAGTGAGAGACTACTGGTGAGAAGCCGGAGGAAGGTCGCTAGTCGAGAGAGATCGCCAGTGGATAGGGAGTCCACCGTGCTGCGAGCCCGTCGCTGTCCCTTGTCAGGAGCAGGAGAACTAGGAGAGCGCAACCAGTAGGAGGCCCGCGCCTGCCCCCGTGCCGCCGGGTGCAACCTGTCCTATACGAGAGAGGAATCCCTGGGACCCTGTCGTGTGGGTGAACCCTGCCCAGCCCCCCTCCGTGTCGCGATGCGCTCCCCGCTCCCGTTCCCCTGTGTCCCTGATCGTCCTTACAAGATCCTGCTCGTGCAGGTGGGGACCCTGTCCTTCTCCCACCCCTTGTTTGGTGTGTCCGTTTTATTTATTTATTTATAGAAAGCAGCTTGCGTTGTCCGTTTTCTTTCTTTCTTTTTAGAAAGCAACTTTTCCTCGGAGAACCGTGTTTACTTTATGGCCCTTTCCCTGCGAACGCGCACCCCCGGGGCTAGGGCTCTCTAGCCCGAGCCACGCCGAACGGTACTGAACGTAGAGCCGAGCTGAAGGAAGCCGGGGAAGACGACTCCGAGGAGGACGAAACACCAGTGGCAATCCCGTCGTCAGCTGTAACGATGCACCCGAAGGGGACCCCAGCGCCAACATCATCGGTGGAGGTACAAGTGTCCGAAACGAGAGTGGACCTGAGCAACGGTATGACTGGGCGGCAAATGATCGCAGTGGGCATCAGAAGAAGTGGGACGACCGCGAGGTGGCATGAAGGTTGCAGCGAGAATCGGCAAGGGACCCTGCGAAGGGAGATAGGAAGAGGCAGACGACCAAGGGTTAGTGGGCGGCGGCTAGCACCACACTCCTCTCCTTAAAATCCCTGTGTGGTGGCGGCGTGCCGTCCTCCCATCCCTCCCTTGCGCTGTCTGTTTTCTTTCTTGTCGTGCCAGTGTGCTGTGAGAGAGGCTTGTATCTTAAGAATTCTTTCTTGTCAAATTCTTTCTTTTAAGTGTCTGTGTAGGTGAGTGGTGTACAGTGTCGTGTCCATTAGCTCCGAGTAGAGGGGGCGTCCTGCAGACTGCGACTCCTCAAGTGCTCCAAGTGCGCGCGGGAGTCTGGCTCTCTTTCCCAATCAACAATATATCCCGCGGTAAGAACTCACCTCGCCCTACAGACCCCCCAATCACCCACCCGGCGGCCCGCATCTCGCCCCAAAGCCGCTTACGTGCATGTACTGCCCCCTCCCCTCGCAGAGATTTTTAGTCGGCGGGGCTGCAGCCGTGGTCGAGATGATCACAGCTGGGTTCCCGGTCGGCCGGCGGCTCGCTCCGCTTTGCGGGCTTCGACAGCACTCGCCTCTCCATGTCAACCAAGGCGGATCGGCTCGCGAGGGCACGCAAGAACCTCGCCGACCCGAACGCGGCGCTCGCGGAGGGCACAGGGCGAATCAGCCTCAGTGACCCCGGCGCTGCCAGCGCGAGCACCGCCGTCGACCCAGTGCTCACGCCGCGGCTGCAGGGGAAGTTGATGGAAGCGGCTCGCAACAGCGTCGCGGAGAAGAGCGGGTCGGACGACGACGACGACGATGACGACGATGACGAGGAGGACGAGGAGGACGCCGACGGTGAGGACGATGAGCGCCCGACGACTCTCGCAGGCAAGGTGACAGCAAAGTTCACATCGATCAAAGAGTCACTATTTGGCGACCGCCATGTGGTGGCACCGCAGAGCGCCGGTGTCAGCGGGCCGCCCAAGCTTCCCGGTGGCACGTCGTTCTTCTACGACGAGTCGACCAAGGAGCTGCAGACGTGGGCCACAAAGTACAACCTGCACTCGGAGGCCGTCGAGCTGCTGCAGGAGGCCGGCATCGAGACGCTGCATGACCTGCAGCACCTCCAAGGCTCCGAGGCGGAGATGTGCGTCCCTCCCTCGCCCCCGTCCCTCGAGCCAAGCCGTGTCCTCTCACCACGCCTCCCTCGCGCAGGTTCCGCGGCCTCGAGTACTACCCGGCGCTGCTGCGTGGCAAGGTGTGGAAGGCCGTGACAGCGACGCAGGAGAAATGGGCAAAAAAGGCGCAAAAGTGATGTGACGGGCGAGGGCAGGAGCGTGTCGTCCCGTCCCTTACGTGTGCGAGGCTCAGCCTCGCTTAGGCGAGGTGAGCGTTGCGAGGCCGTCAGACCAACTTGGGACGACGACTGCGCTGTTCGGCTGGGTAATGCATGTACCATATACTGTGACATAAGATGGGTTAGAGGATCGAGGGCGGTGGGATATTTTTATCGTCGTCGCGATATTTTCAGTTGCGCCGCAACTCATAATGTAATCCTATTTTCCTCCATCTCTCGCCCAAGCGCCAACGACACCTTCCTCCCGCGCGCAAGACCCCCGGTCCTCCGCCGGCTTGCTCACAGCGTGCTCGAACGTGGCCTCCTCAGCGCAGCCTCTCGAGCGTGGATGTAGCATTGGCATTGCGCCAGCGAGTTCTCGTGCTCCAGGCGCAGCAGAGCCCACTGTGCACGCCGAAGCAGTTCGATGCCTGTCCGGAGGGGACGACGAATCGGGTTGGGGAGGGGGAGAATTTTGAGGTCTGTTGAGTGAGGCTTGTGGAACGCACCCGCGATCAGAAGCACCCAGTGGCGCTTGAGCAGCGTTTGGCCGGGCGAGATGTAGACAGCCCAGCTGAGTCGTGCAGCGGCGTTGGTGCATATCGCGAACGGGTAGAACCACGAGTGGTAGACGAACCGTCTGCTCGACGCAGCCGCGCTGTACTTGGACTCACCTGCGAGCGGTGTGGGCCGCGCATCGCTCGGAGCAGAGTGAAAATCGTGAGCTACACAACTGGGTGTCTCTCACCAATCGGCAACCGCAGACCCCAGTCGATAAAGACGTCCCACAGGAACGAATAGACGGACGAGAAGAGGGAGACGCCCGCCCACACATTGTCAGACAAGCCTACAGGTCGAGGCAGCTCTGCTTGTGTCGCCGCTCGCCATCCATCTGAGTCCGCCTCTACGCGCTCTCACCCCACTTCCCAAAGGGCGTGACCCCCACCGACAGCAGCGCAACCGCAAGGGAGGCGGTGTACCTGCCGGGTCGCAATCGTCTCAGTGGCAGGCGTGACGGAGGTGTGGACGTGGAGGGGGAGCATGCGTGCGGCGGGTTCTCACTTTCCGGCGTTGAATAGGTGTCGTGGGGCGGCGGACCGCAGCCCGCCGGCGCAAATGGCCTTTCCTGGCTCACGAGAGTCGGCAAAGGCACGGAAGCATTGCATGAGCCGGATCCAAAAGGGCAGTAGCGAGAGGACAGTATGGATCACTGGCAAAGCGGTGTAGGAACGGAAGCTGTGGCACTGGTTGTGCTCCTTGTTGTGGAGAGCTGCTTTGTGAGGGTCCCACTCGATGTCAAAGGCGCCGCCTGCAAGCGTCGTTGGGTCGGGTTGCACGAGCTCGGCTACGTTATCTCGGTGCGAGGGCCGCGACGCAGAAGATCGCGAGCTGCTTTCAAATTCGAGCCACACACGGAAGGTGAGGGGCGAGGGGGGCGGGCCTGTGATATAGAGGCAGGCGGCGAGAAGAAAGTCGTTGAAGAGCTTTGGCATCGACGTGAGCATGTCTGCAATGAAAGAGCGCGAGAACGTCACCTTTGTCAAGGGCGACACGATGACGAAGGCGACGGCCTTGAGGAGCAAGTACCGCTGCTTGCGATCGCTCCACTCGGGCATCCAGTTGAAGGGCCACAGGAGTATGATGGTGGGACCGAGCAGCGCCACTATCGGCCAGACATGCTTGCTGACGTGATCGAGGGTGTACAGCTCGGTGATCAGCGTGAGAACGTACAGGACGAAGGAGGTGAAGACCACCTGACCAGAGGGCGCCGCGGTCGAGCGCTGTCGCCACTAAACACCCGTCAGATACGACATCAACGGCAAAGCTCACCGTCATCGCTCCGAACGAGAGGCGTACGACGACGTGGTAGGAGTGCTTCGCCGACACCTATGAGCATGGCATTGCAGCTCGGTGTCCGAATGTTGGCAGAGCCAGGTGGCGAGCGGTGCACATCCAGCAGCGTGTGGTAGTCGACCCCGCTGTGCTTCCAAACGTAGACATCGAAGCCATACAGTGCAACGAACACCGTCGCGAGAATCAGACCGCGAAAGAGAGGGTAGTACACGTAGGTGAGCTCAAATATGATCCCGAACTTTGACTTTTCGACGTAGGCGGTGGCCATCATGATCAGCACCATGATGAACATCTGCAGCGCGAGCCCCGCCTGAGCAAAAGGGGAGCCGATCCTCAGTGTGCGCCTTCATCGCCGAGCGTGGCGCCGTGGCGAGGCACCTGACAGCCGAGAATAAAGTGCCGATGCTTAATCTCAGCAATCGGCAGCTGCTTGCTCACGCCGTGCATGTCGTCCATCACCATCGAGTCGTAGGGGCTGCTCGGCGTTTGGTGGAGCAAGGGCGCCCGCTTGTCCTTGCTGTTGAAACGCATTGGGCCCATGGAGTCGACCGGGGCGCGAGGCATGGCTCTGTCCGAGACGGAGAAATGGTCGAGAGAGGGTCGACTCGCGCGCAGGACAGAGATATGAGGGGGCTTGCGGATGTCCGCGGCCGATTGTACTTCGACGAGGGCTGCCCCGGACCGATTTACGCCCCGGCGGGGATGGATTTGCGGGTTTCCCCGTGCCGCGAGACTTGGGCGGTATCTCCCGCGATGTGTCGCGGACAAACCCAAGTAGACGCCCCTTGGGCGGGATCGCGTCTTACTTACACAAGAGGAACTATAACACATCGCTAGTCATGTACAATCATGAGAACTGGGTCCAGGCCCCATAGTGAGGTGGTCTCCCAGTCTAGCGCACCTCGCGCCCGGCGGGCGGCGACCTGTCCGTCCACCGACCCCTCCGCCCGCGCGTGCCAACGCCGCCTCCACCGCCGAGTCGAAGAGCCGATGTAGACCCGTCGTCCGTCCACCGTGTGGTACGCCGCGAAGCGGCCCGACGCCCAGGGAAGTCGGCAGCCGCGCGAGCCCGACGCCTGCTCCTGCTTGCGCACGCCTGCGTAGCCGGTGCTGCTGCGACTCGAGAGGTGCAGCCGCCAGCCCTGCGCCTCTGTCACCACCGCCGGCGCCTCCCCCGCGGGGCCCATGTGGGATGGACCTGCGAAAGCGCGGGGAAGGAGAGTGCATTCAGAAGGCAGAGCCTGAGCACAAGTGGGGGGCTTGCTCGCGAGCCTTGACTTGCATCGACTTGATTACAACGCGGAGCCATCGCGGGTAGCCAGCGGCGGCGAACCGAGCAGCATGGGCGGCGTGTCATTCTGCAGTCGATCGCCGCCGAGGTCGCGGTCGCGGGCGGCGCCGTCGCGGATCGCCAGAGGCGGCGGGCCGGCGGGAGAGGGCGGTGGCGCGAGCGGTGATGCTGATGATGTGGCCATTGGCCGGCCGCCGCCGCGTCCTCTTTGCGAGCGCTCTCGGCTTCCGTCCCTTTTTACGCTTGTCCCCCCCCTTGCTCGTGTGTCTGAGCTCTCACCGGGTCGGACCGGTCAGTGTCACCCGTCTACTTGGGTTTGTTTTTTAAGTTTGCGGCTTCTTCATACACTTCAGGAGAGAGAGCTAAAAACATACATACACTTCTCCCAGTAAGCTAAAAGTACACTTTGAGCTCTCTGGGTATGATGTCAGTATGGCTATAGATCGAAATCTGATCCAGTCATCCTTACCAAGGCCGGACCAGGAATTCGACCAAAGCAAATTTCTTCCTTTGAAAAACGCGTCGCTCACCGCCGGGGCGGGCGCCTGGCGGCGCCGCTGCGCAAAAAATGCCGTCCCAAGCTGTCACTCCCCTTTCTCCCGGCCGGGGTGGGGCGCGCGCGGGGGGCGGCGGGTGTGCGGGATGTCTGTCTGTGGGCCCGAGAGCGATATGCCATGTCCGCCTTGGCCCTTGCGTTTGTTTCATAACATCGAAGGCTAGGCCTAGGGATCCCTTATAGAGATGTTAGAGGTGGGTTAAGAGGGAGATGTGCGCGAGCTGCGGGACCGCCGGGACGGCGGGCGGGTGATTGCGACTCTTGGACCGGCCGCCACTTTTGGCGACTTTTGGGACGCGCGATCGACAGGCCGAGAATCGACATATGGCGGGCGAGGCCGTCACGGCCATGATCGTGGCTGCCGACGCCGGCGACAACCCGTTGGCGGACCGCCGCGAGGACCGGGAGGCGGCGGCGGAGCGGGAGAGGAAGGCGAAGGTGGCGAAGCTCAACTCGCAGACGAGGTCGCGGGAGCGCCGGAGAAGGCCTTCTCACCCTGTCGGATCTAGCTCAAAAAAAATCCTGTAGCAGCTGTCCCGACATTCGACGACATGTCTGGTCTACTCGGCAGAGCCTCCGGCTTGCTATCGCGCCAGCTCCCCAGGACGTCGCTGCACCGCGTGCCGCAGCCCCACAGTGCGCTGCGACTCCTCTGCTCTTCTGGCAGCAGCTCGAGCGACGGCGACGGCGACGGCAAGGACGGCGATGTTACCGCAAAGCGTGGCGAGTTGACTAGCGCCGATGAGCCGGTGGAGGCGACTGTGGTGGTGACGTCGGAAGCAGAGTCGTCCGAGTCTTCGCTCATGTCCATCGACCCGAGCAACATCTCCGCGCTGCCTCCCGTGCTCGTCTTCCCCTTCCCCACGCGGCCGCTCTTTCCCGGCGTCTACCAGCCGGCAGAGGTGACCAACGACGCGCTCGCAAAGGCGCTGCTGACGGTCAAGGCGAGCCAGCTGCCGTACATTGGCGTCTTCCTGCCCAAGGAGGGGCACGAGGAAGTCAGCGGCGGCGTCGGCGACCTGGACGCCTCCGACGACGGCGCAGAAGTCGCCGAGGTGATCGCCGGAGGGACCGGCGACGGCGGCGGCGGCGGCAGCGGCGTCGGTGGCGGCAGCGAAGAGACTGCGGTCAGCGGCGCCGCCGACGGCGCCCTCGCTCCTCCGGCGCCGCTGCTGGACGTGGCGTCGCTGCACGAGGTTGGTACGCTCGCTCAGGTGACGCGCCTCACGCAGACGCCTCGAGGCGTGCAGCTGCTGCTGCTCGGTCACAAGCGAGTGCGGCTGGGCAGGCCGGTGCAAACCTCGCCGGTGATCCTCGCGCGGGTGGAAGAGGCGCGCTTCCCACCCGCCGCCAGCCCGCCTCCCCCCCGCTCCCCGCCGCCGCCCTCGCGCCATGCCAAGAGGAGAGGAGGAGAGAGGGGGGAGGAAGGAAGGGAGAGGAGAGGGGAGAGGTGAATGATTCACGCGCCGGTGTGTGCAGGCGGCGGACGAGCTGGACGACGCCGCGGGCGGGGGCCCGTCGCTCTCCAAGGCGTACGCGATGGAGGTCATGCAGACCATCAAGGAGATCCTCAAGCTCAACCCCTTCTTCAAGGAGCAGATGCAGATGATCCTCGAGCGGCGCGCCTCCGCCTCTTCCCTCTCCCTGCTCCTCACCCTCACCACCCTCAACACCCCCCCCCTCCCCCTCCCCCCCCCCTCCCATCCCCCCCCTCCCCCTGCGGCGGAGCTGCGGAGCGGGCCTCCCTCACCCTCCCTCCCCCGTGCCGACACCATGCCCGACATCCACGACGCTGACCGATGCTGACTCATGAACCATGAGTCCTCAACCAGGTCCGAGATCCACGAGGCAGGCAAGCTGGCCGACTTTGGCGCCGCGCTGACCACGGCGGACGCGCAGGAGCTGCAGGAGGTCCTCGCGACGCTCAACGTGACGGCGAGGATCGAGAAGACCCTTCTTCTCCTGAAGAAGGAGCTCGAGCTCTCCCGGCTGCAGTCGCAGATCTCGAAGCAGGTCGAAGACGAGATCTCGGCTGCATCTCGGCTGTATCTCGGCTGTGCAGGTCGAAGAGCAGGTCTCGGCTGTATCTCGGCTGTGTCTCAGTTGTGTCTCGGCTGTGCAGGTCGAAGACAAGATCTCTGCGAACCAGCGGCGGTACATGCTGATGGAGCAGCTCAAGCAGATCAAGAAGGAGCTCGGCCTCGAGCGGGACGACAAGGACGCCCTCCTCCAGAAGTTCGCCGACCGGATCAAGGAGCTCAACGTGCCCGAGGAGGCGAGCAAGGTCATCGACGAGGAGATGGCGAAGATCGGCACGCTCGAGTCGGCGTCCTCCGAGTTCAACGTGACGCGAAACTACCTCGACTGGCTCACCTCCCTCCCGTGGGGCAGCCACTCGGAGGAACCTTCTAGGAACCTTCTAGGAACCTTCTCCTAGGCTCACCTCCCTCCCGTGGGGCATCCACTCGGAGGAGAACTTTGAGCTCTCCCGCGCCGAGAAGATCCTCGCGGAGGCGCCCGCCCGCCCGCCCCAGCCAGCCGGCACGACACGTCCACCACACGTCCACCACACGTCCACCACACGTCCACGACACGCCCACGACACGTCCACGACACGGCCCGCAGGAGCACTACGGTCTCGAGGATGTCAAGGAGCGCATCCTCGAGTTCATCGCGGTCGGCGCCCTCGTCGGATCGACTCAAGGAAAGATCATCTGCTTCGTCGGTCCGCCCGGCGCCTGGCGCGGCCTCCGTCGCGCGCGCGCCGTGTCTCTTCACACCTCCAGCTGTGAACAGGCCCGCCCGGCGTCGGCAAGACGTCGATCGGCAAGTCCATCGCGCGCGCACTCGGCCGCGAGTTCTACCGCTTCTCCGTGGGCGGCCTGACCGACGTCGCCGAGATCAAGGGCCACCGGCGGACGTACGTGGGTGCGATGCCGGGCAAGCTGATCCAGTGCCTCAAGGCGACGGGCGCCGCGAACCCGGTGGTGCTCATTGACGAAATCGACAAGCTGGGCCGCGGCTACCAGGGCGACCCCGCGTCGGCGCTGCTCGAGGTGCTCGACCCGTCGCAGAACGCGTCCTTCATGGACCACTACCTCGACACGCCCGTCGACCTCTCCAAGATCCTCTTCCTCTGCACCGCCAACGACTCCGGCACGATCCCCGGTCCGCCCCGCGCCTCGCCCGCCCCGCACCTCGCCGGCCGCCCACGCGCCCCGCGCCCGCGCGCCCCGCCGCCCGCGCCGCTGCCGCAGCAGCTGGCCGCCGCAGCAGCTGGCCACCGTAGCAGCTGGCCGTTGCAGCAGCTGGCCGCCGCAGCAGCAGCTCTCCCGCCGCAGGCCCGCTGCTCGACCGGATGGAGGTGGTGCGCCTCTCGGGGTACATCCTCGACGAGAAGATGCAGATTGCGAACCAGTACCTCATCCCCGCCGCGAAAAAGCAGATGGGCCTCGAGGAGGGCACGATGCAGCTGCCCGACGACGCGATCGCCTCGCTCATCCGCTGGTACTGCCGCGAGGCCGGCGTGCGCAACCTGCAGAAGCACGTCGAGCGCATCTGCCGCAAGGTCGCTCTCAAGGTGGTGCAGGCCTCGCAGGCGGCCGAGGCGCAAGCCGCGGAGGCGGCCGAGGAGGCGGGCGCGACGGGGAGCGCCGCGCCCGAGGGGGCGGCAGAGGGGGCGGCAGAGGGGGAGGCACCGGCGGCGGCCGATCCGCCCGTGTACGTCATCGGGCCGGAAGAGCTCGTCGACTATGTCGGCAAGCCGAAGTTCATCGACGAGCGCATCTACGCCACCAACCCGGTCGGCGTCGTGACGGGGCGCGCACGCACAGCACGCACAGCACGCACAGCACGCACAGCACGCACAGCACGGTCATCCGTCTCCAGCGCCGCAGCCCCAACGCAGGCTCGCGTGGACCTCGATGGGCGGGGCGGTGCTGTACGTGGAGGCTGTGCCGCTCGGGCCGGCCGGCGGCGCTGACGCGGGCTCAGAGGCCGGCGGGGGCGAGGGAGAGGGGGGCGGTGGCGGCGGCAGCGGCGGTGGTGGCGGCGGCGGGGGGGCCGTGTTGCGGTCGACGGGCCAGCTGGGTGATGTGATGAGGGACGCCGCTTGCCGTCTGGTCGCTGCTCGAGGGAAGGGGGAGGATCTCTTGACCAGCCGTGTCTGGACCGTAGGAGTCGTCGCTCATTGCGCACACGTACGCGCGCAACTTTGTCGCCGCGCGCGAGCCGTCGAACCGGCTGCTGGAGCGAACTCCCATCGCGCTGCACGTGCCAGAGGGGGCGACGCCAAAGGATGGGCCGTCCGCCGGAGTGACGATGGTGACAGCGCTCGTCTCGATGGCGAGGGACGCAGCGCCTCGCACCGACGTTGCGATGACTGGGGAGGTGACTTTGACGGGCCGCGTGCTGCCGGTCGGGGGCATCAAAGAAAAGGTGATTGCCGCGCGCCGCTCCGGAGTGAGCCACATCGTGATGCCAAAGGCCAACGAGCGCGATTTCGTCGAGCTGCCAGGCAACCTGCAAGCCGGGATCACGGCGCACTTTGCCACCACCTACGACGACGTCTACGCGGTTGCTTTTGCGGACGACTTGCCCGCCCCGTCGCCAGCGGCGGCAGGGGCATGAGGGTGGTCTTGGTTCGCGGCTCGCTCGTCTCCGCTCCCGGCGCGCGCGCCCGGGTGTGGATTCGCTCGACACGGCATGATCCACACATTATGTATGTATTAATGTATGAGATACATTATGAGGATATTATGCGTGTCGAGTCGTCTGTCGAGAATTTTGTAATTTTAGATACTTTTTAGTCTTTAGACTTTACTCCACGCTCAAAAGACGTTGACAAGAGGGACACGCGAAGGACACCGCAAAAATGCTAAACCGTGCAAACGGAAACGCGCACTTTTTTGGCATTGCAGCTTTCGCGATATACTCGAACGCATGAGAAACACCTCTGCGCGGCCACACACCGCAATAGAATCGAAACGCAAGAACCCCCCCCCCCCCCTCCCCCCGGCGCTACAACCCCTCTCTAGCTGCATCGCGCGGCGTCACGGTGCGCACGCCTTCGCTCTCGGGCCGAGCCCCGCACCCGCAAGGCATAGCGGCAGGACAGTCCGGCGGCGCGGCGAAGGGACAGCTACCAACGCTCCCCCCCCCGATCCGCCCCACCGCCACGGCCCCATTGCGAGCCCCTGCTTCCGCCGCCCTTGCCCTTGCCCTTGCCGCGTCCGCCCTTGCCCTTGCCGCCGCCACCCCCGCCGCCACCGCTGCCGCCGCCGCCACCACCACCACCTCCGCCGCCACCTCCGCCTCCGCCACCTCCGCCGCCACCTCCGCCGCCGCCGCCACCGCCTCCGCGCGGCGGCGTCAGCAGCTCGTTAAACCACGGCGGCACCTCGTCACCCGACTCCTTGAAGACTGCGGCCAGCGACTCGAGCTCCACCCGCGCCACCTGCTCGTTGACGAAGGAGGTTGCGAGGCCCTTGGCGCCGGCGCGGCCGGTGCGGCCGATGCGGTGGAGGTAGGCGTCGACGTCGGACGGGAAGTCGAAGTTGACGACGTGAGCGACGTCTGGGACGTCGACGCCGCGCACGGCGGCGTCGGTGGCGAGGAGCAGGCTGGTCTGCCCCGAGACGAAGGCCGCGAGCGCCTCGTCTCGCTCCTCTCCGTGCAGCGAGCTCGCGTCGATGCCGCGGGCGTGCAGCTTCTGGTCGAGCGCCTCGGCGCGCCGCTTGGAGGACACGAAGACCAGGGTGGGCGGGAGGTGGCCCTCCTCCTTGGACGCCTCGACGAGCTGAATCAGCACGCCGTCCTGCGACAGGCGCGCGGGGTTCGGGCTGAGAGCGGGTGATCGGGCCGCGGGGCGCACCGTGAGTGCGTGTGTGTGCGCGCGCGTTTGTGAGCGTGTGTGCGCGCGCGTTTGTGAGCGTGTGTGCGTGCGCGTGTGTGAGCATGTGCATGTGAGTGCTGAGGAGTGAAAGGGGTGCCCGCCGCTGCTGCGCTCGCCTTGTCGCGCTCGGCCACTCGCTCCATCCGCTGCGCGACGTGCTCTCCCGCCACGGCGCCTGGCCCGGCGGTGAGCGAGACATAGTCGCGGCCGCAGTCGAGCGCGAGCGCCTTCATCTCGGGCGGGTGCGTGGCGGAGAAGACGAGCGTCTGCCTCTCCTCGGCCGGCGGCATCTCCGACTGCAGCACGATCTTGCGGATCTGCGGCTCGAAGCCCATGTCGAGCATCCGGTCCGCCTGTTCATGGATGGAGAGGTCAACAGGTTCGTTCGCTCGAGAAGCCAATGTCGAGCAGCCGGGGTCCGCCTCGTCGAGGACGAGCACTGCAACCGAGGAGGTGACCACACGCGATCTCTCCATCAGGTCGCCCAGCCTGCCCGGCGTCGCGACGAGCAGCTCGCAGCCGCGCTCGAGCTCGCGCAGCTGGTCGACGAGCGGCGCGCCCCCGAAGCAGGCCACCGGCCGCACTCCCGCGCCGTAGCACGCCTTGCGCGCCTCGGCGAAGACCTGCTGCGCTAGCTCTCGCGTCGGGGAGAGGACGATCGCCGACGGCGCTACCTGCCGCCGGTCGCGCGGCGGCAGCTCCGAGGAGAGCAGCCGTGCCACCGTCGGCAGCAGGTAGGACGCCGCACGGCCGCACCGGCCGGTGATGGCGCCCGTCACCATCACGTTTTTCCCGAGCAGCGCCGCCGGGAGGACGTACTGCTGCAGCGCGGTCGGCTTCGTGTAGCCGGCGCGCTGCATGTTCGACTGCACCGCCGCCGGAAACTCGAGCTCTTCGAACGAGCTGACGGCGGCCGGCGCGTCGCCGCCCGTCACGCTCGCCGTGCCGCCGGCGCGCGACGCGCCGCCCTCCGCCCCGCCCGCCTCCTTCTCCCTCCTCGGCGGCGAGCCGAAGATCTCCTCCTCCAGCTGACGGCTCCGGCCGCCCGGCGTGTACTCGTCCTGCCCGCCGCCGCCCCCCTTGCCGCTCCCCTTGTCCCGCGCGCCGCCCTTGCCGCCGCCGTCCGCCGAGCGCCACCCGTCCGGCGGGGCGTCGCCCTCGCCCCGCCCTCTGCCGCCGCCCTTGCCGCCGAGCGAGACGTGCCGCGCACCACCCGCGCCGAGGGTCACTCGCACCGACTCGGGGGCCGCGTCGCCGCCCGCCGCCCGCCAGCCGCCGCCGCGCGAGCCCTTGCCGCCCTCCCCCTTGCCGCCCTCGCCCCTGCCGCGCCCCATCTCGGGCTCGGAGATGGGCGCGGCGGGCGGCGGGCTCTCCAGCAGCGCGCGCACGTCCGGCTTGCCCGCCGCCACCGACAGCGCCGTCGCGCCCGACGAGCTGGCCGCCGCCGGGTCGCCGCGCGCCTGCAGCAGCAGCCGGCACACGGCGGTCTGGCCGCGCGCCGCCGCCTTGAGCAGCGGCGTCTCGCCCTTTTTGTCGCGCGCGTTGGCGTCGGCGCCGCGCGCGAGCAGCAGCTGCACGTCGCGCACGTGCCCCGCTTGCGCCGCCGCGTGGAGCAGCGTCCACGAGTCGAACAAGCCGCTCGAGCTGACGGCGCTCACCTTGATGTTGGCCAGCAGAGGTACTAAGGTCTCGGGCTCATCCTTGGGCGACGACGCCGCGGCGAAGGCCCGCGTTAGGATGATGTCCTGCAGTGGGTCGGGCTGGGGCATGCACGAGAGGAGGAGAAGATAGGAACACGCGTCGGTCGAGAGGTTCTGGCCCCTGCCTGGCACAAAGAATTCTTATTGCCAGGTGGGTCTTACAAGACGAGCCTCTCTCACAGCACACTGGCACGACAAGGGCGCGGACTGGCGCGGACTGGCACACACACCGCTTACAAAGAATTTTCCCGCACGCATAAAGAATTTCCAACCGAACTCCCTCGCACGGCACTGGGCACGGGACTGGCGCGCACTGGCACAAAGAGTTCTTTCGCCTTGGCCTTTATACGTTATTCTTCCGAGTTTATATTCTTTTTCGATGCGATTTTCAGCGATTTTCAGCGGGAATATAAAGAATATTTGAGAATATAGGCCCGATTTTTGTTTGGAGCTGTGTTCTCGGCATATTCGAGAATATAGACCCTGTTTGGGACAAGAATACGGAAACAATACGGAAAAAGAATTTTACATATAGATAGTACTGGGCGAGAAAAACGTATAAAGCCAACTTTTGCCCTGCTCGCGGCAGAAAGAATTTGCGGCGTGCCGTCCACCGTCCTCCCATCCGTCTTTTGCGTTCGTCTTCTTTCTTTGTTTCTAAATTGGGCACGGGACTGGCGCGCACTAAGAAATCGGCACCGTGCCGTCCTCCCACAAACAAAGAAATTCGGAGGCCGCACGCGTTGCCGCCCGCTCGCTGCTGGCCCCGGTAGGTAGGTAGAAAGGTGAAGAACAGCCAGGCTCGGACTGGACACCAACGCGGTATGGGTGGACGCTAGACAGATGATGACGACACGCACGAGCGACACACAGACACAAACAGCCTCACAAGACACACAGCCAGCGGGCTGCCACACACCCTGAGTAGGCGTACACCCCCGGTGCATAGGACAAGAAGAAACAAGAGCTGAACAACGAACGTCTATCGGCGAGCAATGTAGAACTCGATGAGTCCAACCCCAGCCGCTGTCCCAGCTCTTGGGTCGAGATATGATGCTCCCACGCCTGGCTGCGCGACACCCGGCACATTGCTCGTAAGTGATGGGCATGCATGCAGCGCAGCCGCCGGTACAGCTCCTCGGTCAAACTCCACGTCTCGCAGCCGTAGAGGACGGTCGAGAGAACGATCGCATCGTAGACCGCCTTTTTGGCTTTGTTGGAAATGGATGTGGAGGCGAAGACGCAGGCGCGCAGGGCGCCAAATGCCTTGCCACCCGACTCGACGCGGGCGTGAAGAAGAGATCACAAGCGAATGAAAACAAATGTGCACTGCCGCCATTACACGCCCTTTCGCTGACAAACCTAGGCAGTGTGCGAGTCGGAAGATATAGAAGAAGGTCGGCGAGTTGCTCCCAAGTTGCTTGCTCCACCTCCATCCCTGAGCGCCCCGAGGAGGGCACCATAGGGTGAGGGAGGGGCGGCAAGAGTGCCGAAGAGAGCACGATGATTGTCAGATGCGAAGCAAAACGCCGTGTTCTCCCGAGAAAAGAATCGTGAGCTATAGGAGTATCATCAGCCGTGGAGGTACAAGTGTCCGAAACGAGAGTGGACCTGAGCAACGATATGACTTGGCGGCAAATGATCGCAGTGGGAGTCAGAAATGTGGTCCTTGCGCGAGGAGAGCTCGATAAACTCGAGGGGCCAAAATATACCGCCAGCAAGGGCAGAGTTACGCCGAGAGGCGAGAGCAAGGGATTGGCAGGCAGCGGCGTCGTCGCGAACGAGCAGAGGAGAGCGACGCGACAGAGGAAGAAGCGACAAGAGAGAGAACGACGAGAGTGGGAAGACCGCGAGGTGGCACGAAGGTTGCAGCGAGAATCGGCGAGGGACTGCGAAGAGAGATAGGAAGAGGCAGACGCCCAAGGGTGGGCGACGGCTAGCGAGCGCACCACACCCCTCTCCTTCAAATCCCTGTGTGGTGGCGGCGTGCCGTCCTCCCATCCCTCCTCTGGGTTGTCTGTTTTCTTTCTTTCTTTCAGGAGAAACTCCTGCGAGCTGTCACGATATAGAAGGGAGCCCCAGTGCCAACACCAACCAACCGTGGAGCTCCGAGGTACAAGTGCTCGAAACGAGAGTGGACCTCTGAGCAACCGGACATGGGTCATGGCTTGGCGGCAAATGATCGGAGTGGGTGTCAGAAGAGTGGTCCTTGCGAGAGAGGAGTCAGTCAGTCAGTCAGTCTTACACACCTCCTAGCATGGAGGACGGGCCCACACGCACACACACGCTGCACACGATTGGCTCGGGAGCCGACACGAAGCACGATGTCACCGGCCGTAGCACTGGGTCCGGGCTGCTGGACGCACAACACACAGCTCACACAGGACAGCTCACGAGGTGGCGCTGTATAGTGGGGTTCGCGGGGACTGGCGCAGGAGAAGAAGGTGGGGCACAGGGATGGGGCCACAGAACTGTCTCACGAACTGACAACCCACCCCGCGCCGGGGGCGGTGGCGCGCGCGAGCGCCGAGCCGATACTTTGGACCCAGAGCCTGGCAGACGTCAGGCCCGGACCCGCCGGCAGAGCCTTGAGCTGCAGCCGCGATCCGCGCCGGCTCTCAGAAGAGATCCTGCGCGGTGCTGACCGCGCCCTCGGAGTGGACCATCGAGTACTCGATGGTTGTCCGGGGAGAAGCGGTGCAGAGCTGCGGCACAATGCGGTAGACGCACAATGCCGCACTGCGGCTTGCAGTTTCTCGCCCACCCTTGGGCGTCTGCCTCTTCCTATCTCTCTTCGCAGTCCCTCGCCGATTCTCGCTGCAACCTTCATGCCACCTCGCGGTCTTCCCACTCTCGTCGTTCTCTCTCCTGTGCAAGGCTCCGATCATTTGCCGCCAAGCCATGTCGTTGCTCAGGTCCACTCTCGTTTCGAGCACTTGTACCTCCACGGTTGGTGTGTTGGCACTGGGGTTCCCTTGCGCCTTGGTATATCGTGACAGCTCGCAGGAGTTTCTCCTGAAAGAAAGAAAGAAAACAGACAAGTGCTCCAAGACAAGCCAGAGGAGGGATGGGAGGACGGCACGCCGCCACCACACAGGGATTTGAAGGAGAGGGGTGTGGTGCCCTCGCTAGCCGTCGCCCACTAACCCTTGGTCGTCTGCCTCTTCCTATCTCTCTTCGCAGTCCCTCGCCGATTCTCGCTGCAACCTTCGTGCCACCTCGCGGTCTTCCCACTCTCGTCGTTCTCTCTCTTGTCGCTTCTTCCTCTGTCGCGTCGCTCTCCTCTGCCTCGTTCTGCGACGACGCCGCTGCCTGCCGATCCCTTGCTCTCGCCTCTCGGCGTAACTCTGCCCTTGCTGGCGGTATATTTTGGCCCCTCGAGTTTATCGAGCTCTCCTCGCGCAAGGACCACATTTCTGACTCCCACTGCGATCATTTGCCGCCAAGTCATATCGTTGCTCAGGTCCACTCTCGTTTCGGACACTTGTACCTCCACGGCTGCTGATACTCCTGTATACTACGATTCTTTTCTCGGGAGAACACAGGTGTATTCTTTTTTTGCTTGGGCGGCCCTGATGCCGGGGTAGGTAGGTAGGGTCTGGGCCCTCCCGTCGGGTTTTTCCCTCTTCCACGCTGGAATTTTCACAGCATAAAAAGAAATTTTCCCGCGGAAATCACGATGTCAACCCTCCCCAAATGGGTGATCTGATGCTTGTAGGGCTTGAGAGTGGCCTGCCATGTCACAAGAAGGACTGTGGTTGCAGGAGAGTACCACCAACCATCACTCTAGTTGGTATAGTACCCCACCTTCACCCCTCCATGATTTCTTTTTTAGTTTCCCATAAGTAAGGTAGGTAGGTAGGTAGGTAGGTAGGGGCACCGCAGGGGCCGGTCAGGTTTTTCCAGAATTTCAGCATCAGGGCCGCCCCAAGCAAAAACAAACGCCACCTGGAGAACACGGCGTTTTGCTTCGCATCTGACAATCATCGTGCTCTCTTCGGCACTCTTGCCGCCCCTCGTGGTGCCCTCCTCGGGGCGCTCAGGGATGGAGGTGGAGCAAGCACCCCCCGACCCGACCAATTTTGGCTCGGCGCCACCCGACCTGACCAATTTCAGCCCCAACCTCTCCGTGCACGCGCCAACCTTTGTGCCGCCGATGGCGTTACCTATGGGTATGCAGGGTCACCCGCAAGGGTATGACTTCGTCCCGATGGCCGGCCCGCACTTTGTGCCGATGGTGATCGACGGCGAGCAGATGTGGAGCATCCAGATGCAGTCCGCGCCGCCGATGCACCCGCCGCACCCATCGCACTTTCAGCATCCGCCGTTCTCGCCGCACCTTCCGCCGCACCCGCCGTACTCGCCGCACGGGCACCCATCGCCGCCTCACTTTGCAATGCCGCCGCAGCCCATGGACGTCTTGCAGCGCGGGATGCGGCGGGCGCCGCCGCCACGCCACACACAGGGCCGGCACGGCCCGCCGCCTCCGGTGCAAGTTGGGTTTGAGCTAGATGGCCGCGAGGGGCCGATGACCCCCGACAAAGAGCGGCGGGCGCCAAGGGGCGAGCAGACCAGGAACAGGAGGGGGCCACGAGGCAAGGGCGGCGAGCACGTCAAGCACAACCGCGAGCCGGGCAAGACCCCGCGCGCCTTTTGGGCCCGCCAATACAAGACAAAGGGGGCACCCCCCCTCCCTTGCCCCTGGACCCCCCCTTCCCCGATGCCCCACTAATTGGGGGGATTGCCCCCCCCCCCCCCCCCCGACACCCCCAACAAAGCAAGGAAGGGCGGCGAACGGAAGCTATTGCAATACCGACCAACGCGGTCGAAAGGATATCAAGCTCCTCGACAACCTCGACAACCTCGAGAGAGACAAGAACGAAGAAGAATTGAGAAGGGGCGTTCATCACAGAGTACAATTGTAACTGGAAAAAGAATTTGATTACCAAACAATGTTGCGGCTGGCGGAGGTGGCTGCGCGCCGGAGCAAGGCACCGTCGGCTGAGGCAGGCGGCGCAGGTGCGGCGGTGGGTGCGAGTGCCACGGCCTCTGCTCCGAGCGGCGAGGGTGGCTTGGAGGCCAGGCCAAGCAGCGGGGCAGTGCCAGAACAGGTTGTGCAAGCGGCTCGGCGAGGCGGCGAGGAGGCGGTGCTGGCGTGGGTCGACGGCGGCGGGCGGGTGAACGCGACGTTCGAGTACGTCTTTCCGGACGGCTCTGATGGCGGCGTGACGCTGCTGATGGTCGCAATGACGCGTGGCCACGAGGGGCTGGCCGAGGCGCTGCTCCAGCGCGGTGCGGATCTCGAGTTGCAGACCAGCGACGGCGAGACCGCGCTGATGGGCGCCGCCGCGTATGGCTTCGAGAAGCTGGTCGAGTTGGCACTACGGCACGGCGCAGTGCTCGACCAGCGAAGCGAGTTTGGCAGCACCGCGCTGATTCTCGCCGCCGACAGAGGCCACAAGCAGACTGTCGACTCGTTGATCCGGCACGGCGCAGCGATCGACCTGCAGACCATCGACGGCGACACCGCACTGATTCGGGCCGCTTTCTTCGGCAAGCCCGCCGCCCTTCTCTGCTTGCTGCAGGCGGGCGCAGATGTGACGGTGCGCACTACGAGAGGCAAGTGAAGACCGCGCTGCAGTGGGCCAAGAAGCAGGGCCACGCCGAGTGCGTGCGCGCCCTCGAGGAGCATGTGGCGGCGGAGAAGGCGGCGGAGAAGGCGGCGAAGAAGGCTGCGGAGGCGGCGGAGAAGGCGGCGGCGGAGGCGGCGGCGGAGAAGGCGTGGGCCGCGGGAGCGGCGGAGAGGGCGGCGCAGAGGGTGGCGGAGGAGAAGGAGGCGGCGCGGCACGCGGAGGAGCTGCTGGCGGAGGTCGAGGCGGAGAAGCGCGCCAAGGGCAAGAAGGGCAAGAAGAAGAAGAAGGGCGGCGGGGCGGGCGGGGCGGGGCCGTCGCAGGAGCCCGAGGAGGGTACCGAGGCGCCGTCGGAGGCAGACGCAGCCGAGGCGGCGAAGAAGGCCGAGGAGGCGAGGCTTCTCCTGCTTCTCGAGACGCTCACCGAGGAGAGGATCCGGTTCGGCATCACGGCGGAGAGCCAGGCAGAGGCGTCGGCCGAGGTGTGGCCGAGGCGGCACGCTTGGACGCCGAGGCGGACGAGGCGGAGGAGGAGGCGGAGGCCGAGGAGGAGGCCGAGGCGGCGGCCGAGGCGGCGGAGGCGGATGCCGAGGCTGCACAGGCGGAGGTCAGGGCGGCGCAGGCGGAGGCCAGGGCGGCGTTTGAGGAGGCGAAGGCGGCGCTGGAGGCGTTGGCGGCGGCGCTGAGCGGGGCCGATTCGGCTGTTGAGAAGGGCGAGGCGGCGCTCGAGGAGGCAGCGGCCGCGACAGAGACGAGGCGTGCTGCTGCGGCCGCTGCGAGGGCCAGGGCGATTGCCGCCAGGATGGCAGCGGAGGCTGCCCAGCGCTCATAGCGCGAGCTACTCAGGAGACAGGAGAGGCGCGTGTGGCCACCATCCTGTGGACTCTCTGGGTGGAGTTTGGGAGCTTCCGTCGAGGACGCGCTCGCTGGAGGGTCGTCTACTGAGGTGTGTTGTCGCTGTCGCTTGAGACGGGGAGCCGCGGGGAGGTCAAGTGGGGCTGGGGGGGGGGGGTGTCTCGATACTCGCGAACGGCTTGCCCCCTGTGCCCGTTGCCGTATATGCCGTTCGCCACACGTACACGCTTTACACGTGGAGAGAGATACGCGGTTTGTGCGCGTTCGGTGCAAGACGACCCTACACACTTTGCCCACCCTCGCCAATGAACACAATTATGCAAACAAACACGGGAAGTTGACAAGTGGGGCAACATAACTGGGCATGCGATCTGGGAACACTCTCAGGAGACTGAATGAATGGAAACACACGTACGGTAAGTGTCTGCCGGGAGAGGGGCCTCTCGGCGCGCTCTCTACGACGCGCCCTCCTCCACGTCAGCAAACATGCGCTCCACCACGGGCTCGTAAAAGGGGCCGTCGGGCGGGTCGTGGCCGGGCGTTACTGCGATGAGGCCGAGCGAGTTGACCACCCAGATGGAGCCGAGCGCCCCCGAGCCGCCAGAGTCGTCCCACACCTTGCGCGGCGGCAGCTCGGCGCGGCGCACCCACGGCAGAGGGACGCAGCGCATCGCGTCGGCGGCGGGCGGCTCCTCTGTCGCGGTGCACACCATGCCGAGCGCGGCGTGCCCCTCGGGCGGCACACCCTCCCACGCGTAGAGCCCTCGCCGGCCTGCCGCCGCCGGCCCGACCGCCCGCTTGGCCCAGCGCAGCGTGTAGCGCACCGGCGGCGGGAAGGAGTAGGCGACCAGCGCGGCGAGCTCCGAGGTGCCGCCGAGCCTCCAGCGCGACTGGCGCGTGTCGGTCACCTCGACGGTCCGCTGCGGCGCGCCGCTGAACATCCGGCCCGGCTTGACCGCCCCGGCCAGGGCGTAGTGGCCGAGGCAGATCTTCACACTCGCGCCGCGGAGGATCGAGTCGCCGCGGAGTGACGGCGCCCAGACGGCGCCCTTCTGCCGCCCGCCCCCGCCGCCCGCCCCGCCCGCCGTCGAGTCCCACACCCGCTCGAAGTCGCCCAAACGGCAGAGCTGCGTGCGGATGCTGCTCGTGCCTTCGGCCGTCGCCTCCGCCGGCTCGCCGAGCGGCGGCGCGTCCGCCCACGCCTCGCCGTCGCCGGCGACGGGCGCGGCGGGCGCCGCCGCCCCACTCTCCGTGCGGATCGGGGGCGGCGGCGCCGCCGAGCTCTCTTCGCCGACGTCGCCGGGCGGCTCGTCGTGCCAGTCGGCTGCCGCCGCGCCCTCTTGCTCCACCGCGTCGAGGAAGTCGCGCCGCGAGAGGAGCGGGGGGCCGTCGGTGGCGTCGGCGAGCGCGCCCTTGCGCAGGAAGAGGAAGAGCTCGACTACCGTCTCGTCGAGCGCGCTCAGGCCGAGCCAGCGGAGGCCGGTCTGCAGCTCGGACCAGGAGACGTGCGCATCGCGGTCGCGGTCACACGCGGCGAAGAAGGCGGCGGGCGAGAGGCGCCGACGGGCCATGAGGCGGCACACCCGCGCGAGCAGCGCGCGCAGGTGCAGGATCTGGTACTCGTCCTCGGTCGTAAGCACCCGCGCCACCGAGTGCTGCCGCCAGTCGGCGTGCCGCCGGCGGCGACAGTGGCGGATCGAGGCGAAGGCGTTGCGCCGGTGCACCATGCCGTTGGACTGCAGCGCGCGGAGCAGCATGTTTGCGGGCTCGGCCTCGTACTGCAGCGACGAATCCAGGAAGCGGAAGCACTGGTGCGCGATGCCGCCGAGGTAGTCCTTGCCGCCACCGCCGTTCGCATCCGCGCCGGGCAGCGACGCGTCCACGAACGCCACGGTGCCGTCGAGGATCCGCCCGCCGTGCCGCAGCGCCAGCTCGGCTCGCGGCGCGGCGGCGAGGCGGCCGCCGGGGCTGCGCCGCGCCGCGTGCAGCGCGGCACGCAACGCCTCGGCCTCGGGCAGGGAGACGGCGACGAGGAAGCGGCCCGTGACGAGCTGGTAAAAGGCGTGCGACCGCAGCGCGCGCTCGAGCTGCTCGAGCGAGGCCCGCCCGTCGGCGTCCGTCTCCACCGCGCGCAGCAGCTGCGCGAGCCGCCCCTCCGGCCCGGTGGCACACACCTCCAGCTTGAGCGCGGACGCGTCGCTGCCGCCCGCCCCGTCCTCGCCCGCCCCCCCCGGTGCCGCCGCCGCTTGCCTTGCCGCGGCGGCGCCCACAGCGCCAAGGGCCCGCTCGAGCAGGCTGCTGCCCGCGGCGGCGGCCGCCGCTGCCGCCGAGGCGGCGACCCTTGCGGCGGCGGCCTGCGGCGCGACGTCCACGTCGAGGGCGTGCAGCACGCGCAGGATGTCGGCCGTGTCGAGCCGCCCGTCGCCGTCGCCGTCAAAGAGCGCGAACGCGTCCCGCACGCGTCGCTCCTGCCGCGCGGTGAGCGGCGGCGGCTCGGTGGTCCAGAGCAGGTCGGGCGCCGGCAGCAGCTTGGCGGCATCGGGCACCCAGTCGAGCACAAGCGAGATGTTCTTGAGGCGGCGCGGCTTGGCGGCCGGCTCGGCCGGCGCGAGGTTGGCGGAGAGCTGCACAAACTCGGGCAGGAGCAGAGGCGGCACGGCCTCGCGGCACATGACGGACGAGCGGAAGCGGCGCGCCGGGTAGAACGGGGCGGGCCCGGGCGCGCCCCCGTCGGCGCCGCACGGCTCGCGCAGCGCCGTGAGGGGCCACGGCTGTGGCGGCGGCGCGTCGCGCGCCCACGCCTCGCGCGGGAAGTCCTCGACCGCCGCGACGGCCATCTCCACCTCGGCGAGCTGCTCGTGCGTCTGCTCGACCTCCTGCTCCTGCTCCTGCTCCGCGACCACCTCGGCGACCAGCTCGCGCTCCGCCGCCGCCATCGACATGGACACCACCGCCGAGGCGCCGGCCGCGACGCCGGAGCCCGCGGAGGAGAGGGCGCGCGCGCGCAGCCGCGAGAGCGTCTCGCGCTCCTTGGGCAAGAGCTCCGCGCCCCCATCGGCAAGGCAGGCCGTGTATAGCCGCGCCTCGCGGTCCAGGATGTCGCCCGTCCGCTCGAGCGGCGGCACGCAGTTGGCCACCTCAGCCGACATCCGCTCGCAAAAGACGTCCATCAGCCGCGCGAGCTGCGCGGCGGGCGGCGCGATCGCGGGCGACGCGTCGGCGGCGCGGAGCAGCACGCGCATCGCCGCGCACCGCCAGACGTCGCGCAGCGACTGCTGGCAGAGCCGCGCCAGCTGGAGCGACTCGGAGGCCAAGCCGTTGACCACCGCCCACGCGCAGGCGTCGCGCAGGAAGCCGTCGGAGCCGGCGCGGCCGCCGGAAGCCGCGGGGCTGTCGGCGGTTGCGGCGGCGGCGGCGGCGGCGTTATCGCTCGCACACGCGGCGGCGGCGGCGGCGGCGGCGGCCTCAGGCGAGTCGCACCGGCCGAGGGCCGCCTGCTCGCGGATCTGCCGCGCCAGCTCCGGCGGCACGAGCAGCGTGACGCGCTGTCCCGCCCCGACTCGGCGCATGCGAAAGGCGCCCTGCGCGAGGTCGCGGAAGGTGACGTCCTTGCCGACGGTGAGGAAGGCGCGCGCGTGGGCGGGGAGCTCGACGTCGGTGCCGGTGGTGTGCACGTGGTCGAAGAAGACGAAGCGTCGCGCGGGCTGCACGCCGCAGCGCTCCAGGGTGAGGGGCGGCCCGCCGCCGCGCCGCAGGACGAGCTTGCGCCCGCCCTCAAGGTAGACGCACGCCTCGAAAGAGCTCAGCCCCGTCGAGAGGAGGAAGGAGGCCGCCTCCGCGTTGGAGAGGCCCGTCACCAGCGCGCCCGTGTCGATGAGCGCGTGCCGGCGCGGCTCGGCCGTCGCGGCGCGCCGCAGGATGGCGCGCGCATTCCAGCCGGGGCGCAGCAGCTCGTGGGAGAGGGCGGCGGAGGAGGTGAGGACGGTCAGCATGCGCGCGTCGTCGCCCTCCTCGTAGGTGGGCGTGCCCAGCTCCTCGGGCAGCAGCTCGGACGGCGTGCCGGAGAAGCCGAGCCGCGAGCCAAAGACGATGGCCCCGCCGAGCTCCTGCCCCGAGGCGGAGAGCTTGAGCGACGAGAAGGACATCGTCGCCGGGAAGACGTACCGCTCGAGGTGGTGCCGCGCGAGCGCCGGCTCGCCGCGCAGCAGCTCAAAGAGCGGCTCCATCTGCTCGGCGTCGCTCATCTCGAGCAAGTGCAGCGCAGGCACCTCGAGCGTCGCGCCGCCGTCCGGGTCGGCCGACGACGCCACGCTCACTGCGCCGGGCGAACGGAGCGAATTCGAGCGAAGCGACCCCGGCGAGCAAAGCGGCGACTCGTGTGCGCCGGGGTCGGACTCGTCGCCCGCCACGTCCGACGCGCGGCACGTCCCCACCCGGAGCAGGCTCGGGGCGCCGATCTGCGAGGCGATGGCGTCGCGGCGCGGCCTTGTCAGGCGCGGGTCGAGCTCGGCCTGGGCGGACCCGCGCCGCTCCCCCTCCTCTGCGGCGGCGGGGCTGCCGCAGCCTTGCGCGTCGCGCCCCTGCCGGCTGGCTCGCGCCCACCGCCTCGCGCCCATCGCCGCCTCGGCGAGGGCGCCGAGCGACGCGCGCGGTGGGGGGTGCTGCTCGACGGCGCCGCGCACGCGGCCCCCCGCGGCGGCGACCCACGCGGCGAAGGTGAGGGAGGCGGGGCGGAGCTTGTATGGCCCGATCTGGACGCTGAGCTCGGCGCGCAGCTCGCGCATCACGCGCATAAAGTCTGCCCAGCGCAGCTTCTCGTAGCGGTACGCGAGGATGGTGAGGCCGATGGCGACGTCGGGGTGGGAGAACTGCGACGACTCGGAGGGGCAGTCCTTGCCCACGAAGGGGACCGCGAGCACGCGGCGCGAGAGCGGTGTCGTCGGGTGCGAGCGGAGGAAGGAGGCCGAGAGGAGGCCGAACGAGACGCGCGACGCCTTGCCCAGCACGTGCGGAAGCAGCGAGACGAGCCAGTCGCGCGTCAGGTTGAGCAGCTTGAAGGCGTCGTCGGTGAGCGCCCTCCGCATCTCCGCCTCGCCGACGCCGCCCGCCGCCGCGTCGGGCGGGGCGCTGCCCGCCGCGGGCACGCGGCGGGTCACGTACTCGGCGAGGGCGGCCGGCGGGATGGCGGTGATGCCCATCTTGACGAGCCACGCGACGGCCCAGCGCGAGAGGGGCGGCAGCATTGCGCTGTCGTACCAGCTGCGGCTGAGCAGCACAAAATGCGGCGTCAGCTGCACCTCGTGCGCGCTCCTGCCGGCCGAGATGGCCGCGCGGAGCGCCTCGGCAGCCGCGATGGCGTCCGTCGACGGCGCAAGGCCCGCGTCGGCGGCGCGGCCGGTGAGGGCGAGGAGGAGGCCGTCGAGCAGCTGGAAGGGCAGCTGCCAGCGGATGCCCGAGCCGAGGCTCGCGCTCTTTGCAAAGTCGAGCGGCTCGCGCCCGCCGAGCGGCCAGTTGAGCTCCGACTTGAGCGGGTGGAGGAGCCAGTCCACCTCGTCCAGCACGAGCACGCCGCCGCCCCACAGCCGCAGCACCCGCGCACAGAGCCGCAGCTGCCTCGTCGCCGAGTCGAGCTCGGTCGCGGCGGCGCGCGGCACGCGCAGCGGCGTCGGGAGGCTGCTGAGCAGGCCGACCACGCCGGTGGGCGGCGGCGGCGGCGCGAGCGCGATCTCGCGGTGCAGCTCGAGGAACTTGAGCAGGAAGGACTTGACTGCCGCCGGGGGCGCGAGCACGGTGCCGCCCTCGGCGCGCGCCCGCTCGAGCCTCGCGACGAGCTGTGCGTCGACGGGCGCGCCGCGCTCGAAGCCAAAGTAGAAGGCGGCGCGCCGCAGCAGGGCAGAGAGCGGGGAGCGGAGCACCGAGCCCGCAAAGTGGAGGAGCGAGGCGGGCACGAGCAGCGTCACGAGCCGCTCGCCGTCGGCCAGGATGAGCGTGAGGAGCGGCGCGATCACGGTGGTCTTGCCCGCGCCCATGAGCAGCTGGTGGCAGAGCGAGCGCGGCGGCGATTGCGACGCGGCGCGCACAAAGGTGCGCAGGAGCCGCACCTGCTCGCCCCGCAGCATCATCCCCGAGCAGAACTCGAGCAGGAGCATGCGCGGCTCCAGTGTCGGCGGGCCGCCGGCCGCCTCGACGTCCCCCGCACCGGCGCTGTCCGCGTGGCAGTGGCGCCGCTGGCTGAGGACCACCGCCAGAGACTTGGCCGCCTCTGCGAGCCGCTCCTCCGCCTCCGCCACCGCCGCCGCCCCACTCCTCCTCTCGCCGCCGCCGGCCACGAGCGCAGAGCGGTGTGCCCAGTCTGCAGCCTCCGCCGCCTCGCCGAGCCTCGCCAGCACGGCGTCGCAGCCGGCGAGGCAACGCCTCACGTGCGAGGTGCGGCTCGAGCGGAGCATCAGCAGCGCGAGCGAAGAGACGAGCCACGCGGCGCGCGCCTCGCCGACGCGGCGGCCGAGCTCCGCCGCCCCCGTGGTGGCGAGGAGCAGCCGGAGCAGCAGCGGCAGCGTGAGCGTGGGCGTGCCTCCGCCTACAGTCGGAGAGCCACACCTGAGGGCGGTGCAGGGAGCCTCTGCCGCAGCGCCGCCCTAACCGACCTAGGCGCAGCAGCGCCGCCGCCGCCGGCGCTCGCGAGGCCTCGCCCCGCTCCTCGCGGGCCGGAAGCGGCGCGTCCGCCTCCCTCTCGCTGTTGGCGAGCGCCTCAATCTGCGGCGCGGCCGCGGCGACCGCCGCCGTGTCGTCCTTGAGCTGCTGCGCGAGAGCCGCGCGGAGGGCCACGATCGCCTTCTCCGCCCTGGCCGCCTCGTCGCCGCCGCCGCCGCGCGCGATGGCGGCGATGGCGTCCTCGGAGAGCGCGTGGAGGCGCGGCTCCTCCGCCGCCTCCTTCTGCAGCTCGTAGGTGCGCATGTCCCGCTGCAGCCGCCGAAGCGTCGAGCGCGCGAGGTCCGAGCGCGACGCGGGGTGGTGCGACAGGTCGAACGGGAGAGCGCCGGCTCCACCCTCCGCGGCGACGAACTTGGGCCGCTGCGTCACGACCGCGCTCGACGCGACGTCCCGGAGCGGGGCGCCGCACAGCGCCTCGAGCTCGCTCGCCGTGGCGCGCATCGCCGCGCCCTCCGACGTGGCGGCGGCCGGCTCGGCCGGCTGGACCAGCGGCAGCGCGGATCGGCCAAAGTCGGAGACGACCACCTCGGAGAGGGCCGGGTGGTCCACCAGCGACACGAGCGGCGGCGACTCCCACGGCGCGGCGGGGCCTCCGCCGGGCCGCACCGTGCGCGACGCCTCCCGCGGCGTCCCGTCGTCAAAGACGGGCGCGACGTGCCTCTGCTGCGGCAGCGCGGCCGAGGCGGCCGGCGCCGCCCGCCCCGCCGCCGGGCGCCGCAGCCGAGAGAGCCACGCTCGCCAGCCGGTGGGCGGAGGGGGCGTCGGGGCGGGCGACGCGTCGGCGGGGAGCGGCCGCGAGGCGCGGACAGACAGGTGGTTTTCGACCACCTGGAGGTTGCGGATGCCGTCGAGGAAGCGCTCCTTGCGCTCGCCGCCGAGGTGGTTGCCGAGCAGCCGCTTGAACATCGGCTTGTTTGCGCGCTCCTCCTCCGTCTCGGGCTCGTAGCGCGGCGCCAGTTTTTGTATTTCGAGGTGTGGCGAGCGGACGAGGAGGCGGAGCGTCTCCATGAGCAGCCCCTGCTGCGCGAGGTCGGCCTGCGGGAGGAGCGCAACCAGCAGCGCGCCCCACTGGTGCGGCGCGTCGCCCTGCAGCAGCTTGAGCTCGAGGTGCCCGCACAGCAGCGCGTAGAGCAGCAGGAAGGAGCCGCCCAGCGAGACGCCGCCCGACAGCAGCTCGTTGTACTTGTCGAGCGCCACGTCGCCCGTCGCGGGCTGCGGCGGCGTGAAGAAGCCCCAGCCGAGGTCGGCGAAGCGGTCCGTCCAGTCGCGCTCGTGCAGCTTGACGTCGGCCGCGGCCTGCCCGCTCTGGTACGCGAGCCGCGGCGAGGTGTCAAAGTGAAAGGCGACGGTCGGCGGCGGCGGCGGCGGCGGCGCGGGGATGCACAGCGAGTGAAGCGGCGTGCCCGAGGCGTGCGCCGCGACAGCGGCCTGCAGCACCGTCGCCCGGTGCAGCAGCAGCGCCGCCGCGTGGTCGCCCCCGCCCGCCTCGGCGTGCGCGCGCAGCAGGGCGAGCTCGTCCCGGAGCGGCAGGCGGCAGGCGGCGGAGACGCGCGGCCACAGCGCGGCGTAGCGGCGCAGCTCGGCGGCGCCGTCCCAAGGCAGCGCTTCCTCGCACGAGGTGGAGCGCATCACGAGCGAGAGGCGCAGCCGCACGGCGCTCGCGTCGGGGTGCTCGTCGTGCGTGGCGAGAGAGAGGGCGGCGAGCAGCTGAGCCTCCTCCGCCCCCAGCGGGCCGTCGTGCGCGCAGGCCGAGGCGATCTCGGCCGCCTCGGCGTACATGCCGTGCAGCAGCCGGAAGAGGAGCAGGTGGAGCGAGGCGGCGAGCGAGGCGGGCAGCAGCATGCAGCCCGACGGGTGGATGCCGACCAGGTGGTGCCGCGTCACGCCGAGCGAGCGGTTCCACTCGTCGTCGTCGCGCCGGAGCAGCAGCGTGCGGCGGCCGCCGCCCTCCTCGTGCCAGAGCGGGCGCGCCGTCGCGGGCAGCAGCGCGTGCAGCGCGCCGTAGTCGTCCTGCAGCAGCACCGCGTGCGGGAGGCCCCGCAGCAGCGAGCGGCGAGCCTGTGAGGGGGCAAGCGACGGGCGTGTGGCCGGGAGGCGCCGCAACGGGCGTGCGCAGCGGCGAGGGGCGCGCCGGCCGCGTGTCCGAGAGAAAGAGCGACGGGTGCTCCTCGCAGTAGAGGCGCCTGCCCGCCGCGCCGCGGCCGCTGGCGGTGCCGCGCCCCGCGTCGAGGGCCCCGGACACCGAGGCGGAGGGAGGCGCGCCGGCGGGCGGCCGAGCGGCGAAGGAGATGCCGAGCCGCGGCATCTCGACTCGCCGCACCCGCCAGCCGTCCCGCCGGACGAGGGACCCGTCATCGTCGGCCCAGACGAGCGTGTGCGACAGGTCGTCGAGCCGTCGCAGGAGCGCGCGGAGCGCCTCGAGCGCCCCGCCGGCGCGGGCGCACAGGAGCGGCACCAGCACCTCGTGGCCGGAGGCACCGGCCGCGGTGGCGGAAGGCGCGTCGTCCGAGCACGCGGCGAGCGGGCGGCGAACGACCACGCCGACGCCGCCGCCCGGCTGGTCGGGGGCGAGGCGGACGAGGAGCGCGGGAGGCTCCTCATCGAGCCGCGCCGGCAGCGGGGCGGGCTGGGACGCGGCGACGGCGACGGGCGGCGGGGAGAGCGAGGCGGCGAGGGCGGGGGCGCTCGGTGCGGCGCCGCTGCCACGGTCGCCCGCCTCGCCCCGGGGCTGGGCCGCCTCCTCCGCCTCGGGCGCCACCTCTTCGACGGCGTGGTGCTCCGTCTCGGCGGTGAGGTGGCCGTCGTCGTCGTTCTGCCAGAAGCGGTGCGTGCAAAGCAGCGCCTGCGGAACACACGCCAAGGACGCGTCGCGGACGCGTGACGGATGTCTCCTTGACAGAGGCGGCGCGAGCAGCGGAGCGCCTCGGGCAGCGACCCCCTCAAGAAGCGGCGCGGCACGAAGGTCTGCGTGCTCCCGTCGCGCCGCCGCCGCTGCACGACGACGGAAGGGCCGGGGGAGGGCGCCGCCGAGACGTCGCCAGCCTCGAGGGAAGGGCCTCCCAGGTGCGGCAGGCGGCAGGGCCGCGGCGGGCCCGGCCGCAGCGACGAAGAGAGGGAGGCGCGCGCATCGGAGCTGTAGATGAGGCGCCGCATCGGCACGCGGCCGTACGACTCGACGAGGTAGACTTGCAGGCAGCCGGCCCGCCAGAGCACAACCTCGCGGATCCCGTCGTCGATAGAGGCGGCGAGGCGGACCCAGCCGCCCTCCTCCGACTGCCGCGGGAAGGGGGGGGGGGGGGGGGTGAGCGCGCGGCTGCGACGGCGGGGGCGTGAGGCGTGTCTGGTCGTGTCCCCCATCTCTCGCGGGGTGTGCGTGTCTCCGCCTGCGAGACGGGCGTGAGGCCGCTGCCGTAGGGCAAGTCTCGCGCGCAGCGCAGCAGCGGCTGGCTCCACGCCGGGAATCGGACGCTCGCCGGCATCGCCGACTGGATCCACCCCCACACGCTGATCGACGCGCCGCCATCGCCCGCCGGCGGCGGCGTCCACACCTGCACGTCGAAGTCGGTGCCGACCAGCCTCACCCACCACCGGTGCCGTGTGGCGGCGAGCTCGGCGCAATGCAGCCGGACGCGCGCGCCCGACGCCGCCTGCGTGGCGACGGCGCCCGCCGTGGCGGCGATGAAGTCGGCGTCCGCCGGCACCTCCTCGGGCAGCAGCCTCACCTACAGGGACGCGCAGGGACGCGTCCACGACACGTCCACGGGGCACGTCCACGCGGCGCCTCATCGGGCCGCAGCCTCGCCTGGTTCTTGCGCAGGGTGAACTCGCCGAGCTGGAGGTTGAGCTCCGTGTCGACCGCCATCGTCACAGTCTGCCACACCCACTCCTCGTACGAGAGCCCGCCCGCACCGCCCGCACCGCCCGCACCGCCCGCCGCCTCGCCGCGCGCACCGCTCACCCGCGGCGACAGAGAGGAACCAACACCGCCGGCGGCGGCCGAGCCGTCGGCGCCGTCCTCGCCGCGGGCGGGCGCCGCCAGCAGCGCCTCCCGCGCGCGCCGCCGCTCCTCCTCCGCCGCGGGCGTGAAGCGGCCGACGTTGGTGGCGTCGGAGATCGGGACCCAATCGCGCGATCCCGACCCCGGAGACGGCGGCGGCATGCTGCCGGCGGCGGCGCCGGCGGGGAGCGGGCGATCAACGTTCGAGACGATGGCGACGATGTCGTCGATGGCCCGCGACGCGCGCGCCGCCGCCCCCGGCCGCGCGAGCCAGGCGAGGGCGCCCGCGCGGTGCTGGTGGAAGAGAGCGAGGGCGTCGAGCGGCGGCAGGTGCAGCTGCAGGTGCGCCGCCGCCGCCGCGTCGAGCGCCGCCGCCGTCAGCTCCTTGGACTTTGCGTTGGCGCGGCGCTGAGCGGCGGCGGCAACGGCGGCGGGCTCGATGCGGCGGAAGCCGTCGTAGTTTGTGGTGAGGAAGACCCAGGAGGAGAGGAGAGTCACCACTGACCGCCGCTCGAGCTGCGCCGCAGAGAGGGGGCGGAACACGACCGCCATGTGTGCACGCACCGCGCAAGCGGCCTCGACCTGGTGGTCGCGGATGGCGTGGCGGAACCAGTCCTCGAGCATCGGCAACGCCTCCGTCTCGAGCTGCGAGCGGATCGCCGCCCGCGAGCGGCGCAGCTCGGCGAGGCTCGCCGCGTCCAAGACGACTAGCCGCGCGAGAGAGGGGCTGTGCCACGCGGCGGCGTCGGGCGGGGACGGAGGGCGCGCCGCGGCCGCGCCGGTGCCAGTGCCGGTGGAGCCTCGCCGCGCGGACGCGCGCTCCTCCGCCGGCGGCGGCTCCGGCGGGCCGAGAGGCGGTGGCGGGTCGCGCGTGGCGGCCGCCTCTGGATGTGGTGCGGCGGCGCGCGCCTCGTGAAGCTCGAGGAGGAGGCGGAGGTGCTCCTGTGGGGCGTGGCGGGGGCGTGTCAAGGACGCGATCTGGGACGTGTCCTGCAGAGGCGGCGGCGCTCTCCTCGACGCGAGAGAGGAGGCGTACCACGTAGAGCGTGGCCGCCGAGGAGCCTCGCGGGTCGTAGTGTCCGACGTCGTGCTCCTGCGCGAGGTGCGGGCGAGGTGCGGGCGAGGTGCGGGCGAGGTGCGGGCGAGGTGCGGGCGAGGTGCGGCTAGGTGCGGAGTAGCCGAAGCCCAGCCGGAGAGCGGCCGATGTCGCGCTCCTGCGCAAGCTCAAGCATCGACTCGAGCGGCCGCAGCGTCGCGGCCGGCGCGTGGACTAGCTCGTTGAGCAGCAAGCCGCACGGCGTGCCCAGCGCGGCGCGGTCGGCCGCGGGGGCCTCGGCGAGCGGCGGCGCGCCGGTGGCGGGAAGCCACTCGCCCGGCTCGAAGAGCGCCGCGTCGAGGACGGCCTGCAGCTCGGGCGAGGCGAGGGCGGGCAGCGTGGCGGGCTGCGCGAGCAGCTGCAGCACGAGAGGCACGCGCACGTACGGCGCGGTGAGGTACGAGAGCAGCAGCTCGCACGAGTGCGCCTGGGGAGGCGTAGGGAGGGCTCACGGAGAGCACGAGGAGACAGCACCGGCTCGCATGAGGTGTGCCGAGAGGCGGCCGCCGAAGGAGGGGAGGGAGCGGACGAGCAGCACGTCCTCCTCAGAGGCGACGCCGCCGCCCTCGCAGCCGGCGGCGCGGAGGAGGGCCGACGCGTCGGCGTTGGACGGCGGCGCGCGTGGCGCCTCCTCGCGCCGCCAGAGGCGCTGCATGTACGAGAGCATCGAGCCGCCGCGCTCGGCCACCGCTGCGGAGGAGGCCGTCGGCGGAGCGACGCGGAGGGGCCGGCCTCCAAACGCGCGCACCTCGAAGCCCTTGGCCTCGGAGAGGAAGGTCCAGCGCAGAACGCCGTCGCGCGGCCGCCACGCCCGCGGCTCGGGCAGCGCGCCGCGCGCGGGGCACATCATCAGCCGAAAGTAGAAGACGGCGTCGCGCAGCACGCGCAGATCGGGCGCCACGTCGAGCAGCTCCTCCTCCTCGCCTGGCAGGAATTAAAGACGTAAATACGAATGACCACTAACTAGGCGCCGAACAGCTCCTCCTCTTCGCCCGAGAGGAGCCGGCCCGCCTCGCCGCCGCCGCCGACCCGGCCGAGACCCGATGCGAGCCCGAGCTGGGCGACGAACGCGCGGTCGCCTGTTGTCGCGGAGCTGGAGGCGTCACGAGGCGCTCATCGCAGCGGCGCACCCGGACGGGCGGCGGAGGGGCGCGGTCCTTCGCCGAGCGCCATCGAGCTCGCCGCGCCGCTGCCCGGCTCGGGGCCGAGCGAGAGGAGGCTGGTCGCGGGGGTGAGCCACTCGTTCATGGCGGCGAAGTAGTCGAGCAGCCGCGCGCGGCAGCGGAGCAGCGCCGCCTCGCTCAGCAGCATCGCGCTCGACTCGGCGCGGAGCGGCCGGAGCCCGTCGAAGCCGAAGGGCGCCGTCGGCCCGCCCGCACGGCCAGCGTAGTGCTCCGCCGCGGCGGACGGCGGCGCGTTGGCGGTGGGGAGGCGGAAGGCGGCGTCCGCGACGGCGGCGATGGCGGCGGAGGTGAGGACGCGGAGCGCGTCGAGCTCGCGCGTCGGCGGCAGCGCGAGCGACGCGACCGCAAAGTGGCGCGCCAGCTTGCGGAGCGACGCGAGGATGGCGCTGCGCGTCTCGGAGCGGACGGGCGCGTCGGCGGGCGGGGCCCAGAAGCAGCCCGGGGGCGGCGCACCGCTCGAGGTGCGCGGCAGCGGCAGCGGCATCGTGCGCGTGAAGAGGCGGGAGAGGAGGACAGTCCGGTGGGCGTACGAGGAGGTGAGCAGCGGCGCCTGGCGCGCGGGGCGTACCCTTGTGAGAGGGGGGACGGGAGGGGGCACGAGGAGCGGGCGAAGACGCGGAGTGAGGGGCGGGGCGGCGCCTGGTGCGCGAGCAGATCGACGACCGCGACGGCGTGCCGCAGCGCGTCGCTCGCGCCGTCGAGGGAGAGGAGCGGGGCGTCCGGCACGTCCGAGAGCGGCGCGGGGAGCAGGATCGAGGAGAAGTCCGCCTCGCCCGCCGCCGCCTCGATGGCGGCGGTGTCGCGCACGAGGCAGTCGAGCTGCGGTGGCGTCGAGGTGAGGAAGGCCTCGCCGCCCTCGCGCACGCCCTCCGAGACGAGCAGCGGCGGCGGCGCGTCGTTCGGGTCGACGGTGTCGAGCGCCGCGTCGAGGGCCTCGCCGTCGGCCCTCGCCGCCGCAACCTCCACCGCGTCGAGGGCAGGCCGGCGGGCCTCCGCGCCGCCCTCGAGCGGAGGCCTCCCCTCGCCCGCCAGCGGGTCGAGGGGCGAGCAGCTCAGCGCGTCGCCGCCGAGCTGGAGCAGCAGCAGCCTCGCCGCGCGGGAGACGAGGCAGTGCTCGGCGCGCCGGCGGGGGGGGCTCTTCTCCACCTGCGCGGGGGCGGCGCGGCGGGGTGCTGGCGGTTGGGAGGTGCGAGCGGCACCAGCAGAGGAGTCCACCTCCCGGCCACCTCCCGGCCACCCCTCAGCCACCCTCCCGGCCACCTCTCGGCCACCTCCCGGCCACCTCCCGGCCACCTCCCGGCCACCTCCCGGCCACCTCCCGGCCACCTCCCGGCCACCTCCCGGCCACCTCCCGGCCACCTCCCGGCCACCTCCCGGCCACCTCCCGGCCACCTCCCGGGCGTGGAAGGGTGGGGAGGAGCGCCTGTCGGCGCAGCGTGCGGAGCAGCTGGCAGCGCAGCAGCGCCTCGAGCCGCCCTCCCGCGCCGAGAAGGGCGCCGGCGCCGCCGAGCCCTCCGCCGACCAGGCCGGGCGGGAGGGGCACGCTCTCCGCCGACAGCGCGACGCCCACGCGCAGCGCCTCGAGCAAGCAGAGGAGGGAGCGGACCCGCGCAGAGCGGGGAAGAGGCGCCCACCGCGCAGGCAGGCTCCACTCGGCTCGAGAGGCGCCATCGCCACCGCTCGCGTCGTCGCGCTCACCCGCCTCGGCCTCGCCCTCGCCCTCGCCGGCGGCGGCGGCGGCGGCGGCGGCGGCGGCGGCGTCGTCGGCAACGGCCGAGGCTGCGTGGGGAGGGCCATACGGCGGCCGCTGGTCGGGCGTGAAGTTTGTCTCGAGCGGTCGCCGGACGAGGAGAGGGAGGAGGCGGCCGTAGACGAGGGCCTGCCGCAGCGGGGGGCGGCATGGTCAGCACGGGGAGGGCGGCGAAGGGGCCGAGGAGAGGGGCGCGGCGGGAGGCGTGGCGGTGCCGAGGCTGCGGCGCTGCTCTTGAGGTTGCGGTGCGTCTCGACGGCTTGCGAGTGGTGGAGCCCGAACCTGAGGGTGAGGGGTGAGGGGTGAGGGGTGAGGGGTGAGGCTGGTGGGGTTTGTAGGGATAGGATTAGGTTCGGGGGTCGGGTCGGGTGTACCAAAAGGCGGAGTCGCAGATGCGATCTGCAGAGACGCGCCGCACGCAGACCGTCGGCGAGAAGAGGAGCTGCCCGCTCAGCGGGTCCGTCCGAGTCGGGTGGAAGGCGAGGCCTGACCCCACCGACACTACCGCCAGGACGTAGTCGCAAGGGCCAGTGGCAGACCCGCCCGCCGCGGGCGCGCCGCCGCCGCCGCCGCCGCCGCCGCCGCCGCCGCTGCCGCCGCCGCCGCCGCCACCGCCGCCGCCGGCCGCGATGCCGGCGGAAGCGCTGCCGCCGACGGCGGCGCTGCCCGTGCAGCCGCCGCCGCCGCCACTGGCCGCCGCCGCCACCGCCGACACCGCCGCAGCGGCAGCTGCAGTTGCCGCCGCGGCAGCGACGGCGCGGCGAGACGATGCGGCGGCGGAAGCGGGCGTGTCGGCGGCGGCGTCTGGAGAGTGCGGCCGGCCGACGACAAAGACGGTGCCCGACGTCGAGCGCCAGAAGCACTGCGTGAGCGCCGCCTCACCCACCCGCAGCCGGCGGAGCCGGCCGACCCACTCGTCAATCATCGCGAGGAAGCCGGCGCCCCTGGTGGACACGACGCCCTCGTGCACCTGCAGCTTCGTCGCGTCGGTGCAGAGCGACCACGCGGCTCGCACGCACATGTCGGACGGCCGCTCTGCCCGCAGGCCCTCAATGAGCGCGCCCACATAGGCGAGGGCCTCGCCGAGCGGCGGCACCGGCACAAAATGCGGCTCGGCGGGCGCGGCCGTGGCGGCGCTGTAGTGCTCACGGAAGAGCTGCAGGTCCCAGAGGTTGGCGGAAGGCGCCATCCCTCGACATCCCGGTCTGAAGAAAACGCATTCGTCGCGCCGCTACATCAGACGTGCCGGAACCGTCCGACTATAGCGACTAGCTCACCTCAAGTGCTCAAGAGTCCCTAGAAACATTCACGCTCGAAAAAATCATCCGAGCAAGCTCCCATCTTCGCCGTGACTCCCCACTCCCGATGTCGACGACGCTCGGCAAGGTCGTCCTAGTGACGGGCGGTACCGCGGGCCTCGGCGCGGAGCTGCTGCGGCAGATCGTCGCGTCAGGCCCTCCGTCCAAAATTATTCTGAGCTGCACGACGTGACTCGCCTTTGCCGCCTGATGGTATCGGCATGAGTCTACCTATGCGGGCCTCACTAGAGGTGCGGCCTGCGCGTGTCCTCGCCCTTGGGAAGGTCTTGAGGGGGGAGGGGAAGGGGCTGTGTGTCTGTGCATGCATGCATGTGTGTGTGTGTGTGTGTGTGTGTGTGTGTGTGTGTGTGTGTGTGTGTGTGTGTGTGTGTGTGTGTGTGTGTGTGTGTGTGTGTGTAATAAATAAATAAATACAACGGGCATCCCAAGCTAGGGCTGGGTCGAGGACAGACATGTCCCCACCTTTGCAGGATTTTGCAAAAGCGAGGGGGGAGGGCGCATCGCCGCGCGGAGAGGGCTGGGCACAGGGCACAGGGGATCTCTCTCGCATAGGATATGCACTCGGCGGCACGAGGGCAAGGCTGGGCGTCCTACATGTATGTTTGTGCTCCCCCCCGGACCCCTCGCTCTCGGGCACTAACCATCTGACCACTCATCGACGGGGCTTGGCGAGCGGCCGCGCTGCGGGGCAGGGCTGGTGAGAATGGGCTCTGGCCACTCGCCCGTGCGGTTGTAACCCCGCATCTGTCGGACAGAGGCCTCGACCGCCCCTCGCGGCAAGCTCTCGAGCATCTCGAGCAGCTCGCCCGCCGCCATCGCCGCCTCGAACTGCTCCCTCATGCCGAGCGCGCCGCATACCCTGCGGACCGCCTCCTGCTGCACCTCGTCCGGCGTATCGGTTTCATAGCCGGACGAGTCAGCGGAGGCGGCCCGCTTGGCGGGCGGAGAGTCGGGCGACGGCGAGCGCGACTGGCGCGAGAGCCCGCTGCCGCGCGCGGACAGCGCGTTCTTGTCAACGAGACGGGGTCCAGCATCGGCACGGCCCCTGGCACCGCGGCCCTTGCCGCGCTGCTGCTGCCCACGCTTCCTGCCCGGGTTAGGGACAGTGAAGGAGCAGCCGCGCACTCCGCCGCCGCTGGGCGGCGGCGGCACGCGCGCGGCGGCGGCCGGGCCCGCAGGCGCGGCGGGCTGGCCACCCGCGGTGGCACCCTGCGGCTGCGATGCGGCTGCGGCGGCGTACGTCTTGGGCGCCGGCTCCGCGGCTGGCGGCGCGGCGGCAGGGGCGGGCGGCGCCGCAGGGCTCGCGCTCGCAGGCGGCTCCGTGGCCTGCGCCTGCCGCTCCTGGCGCACAGCGCGCTCGAGCTGCGAGTGCGGGTGCAGCTGTACGATGACGTCGCCGCTCTGCGTCGCGGTGAAGGAGACCGAGTACGGCGCTTCGCCGTCGTTCTTCTTCTCCGCGTAGACGAGCGCGTAGTCGCACACCTGTCGTTGGTGGTCAGTGAAGATGGTCTCTGTGCAGCGCTCGGCGGAGCCGACGCGAGAGAAGTGCCGCCTGAACGCCATGCGTTCAGGCGCTGTTTGAATTTATGAGAACTAGCGCTGTTGCCGATAAATTTCTTTAGCACACGAGCTCCCAAGCAGCTCACAGCGACATGCTTCGTGAGCTCTTCCTCGCGGTGGCGGTGGTTGCGGCGGCCGCGTTCAACGCGCCCCTCACCCGCGTCCCTAGCAGCCCGCTTGCGCGCTGCGCCGCCTCGTCGCCGCTGCGCGCCCCGCTCGCCGTGATGGAGGAGGACGCGGCTGCGGCGGAGGCGCCCGCGGCGCCAGAGGCGGCCGCCGAGGCCCCGGCGCGTAAGCCGCGGGCCAAGAAGCAGCCGCTTGATCAGCTCGAGGTCGGATCGACCGTCGAGGGCACCGTCCGCTCGGTCCAGCAGTACGGCGCCTTTGTCGACATTGGCTTTGCGAGCGACGGCCTGCTGCACGTGTCTGAGATGGCAGACACCTTCGTCAAGGACGCCAACGACATGTTCGCGGTGGGCGACGCGGTGACGGTGCGCGTGAAGAGCGTCGACCTCGCCAAGGGCCAGGTGCCTCCTCACCGCCCTCGCGCGCCGTGCTCGCCCCCCACCGCTGGCATGGAACGAGGCCGGTTCTGGACCGGGGAGACTCCTGCCGCCGACCCTGCCACCCCTGTGTCAGTGTGCCTGTGGTTGCGAGAGACTGGCGGTGAGAACCCCGAGGAGGTCTCTAGACTTGACATGAGACCGCCTTCAGAGTTGGGAGTCCACCGTGCACCGCGAGCTAGGCTGTCTTGTCCCTTGTCAGGACGAGGAGAACCCCCATCTGTGGCCCCTGATCGCCTTTCAAAGTCCTGCTCGGGCATGGGGGGACCGTGTCCGGGGATTTTCCTCTTGCGCTTGGGGGACGGCCGCCCCGGTAGAACTGGGAGCACCGGGCCCTTCTCCTTTTTGGGGTTCCCCCGCGGCGGCTGCGTTGTTCCCGTTTAAAGGAGGGCC